GCTTTTCCATCCTCTTCCTCCTGTTTCGCAAACTTGGAAAGCAGTAGTACCAGCACACAAACTAAACATTGTCACTGTGTTCCTACTTTAATCAAAAACACATTTAAACCACCGCCAGCCCTGAACTCTGTTCCCTGTATCCTTCTTACGCACAGCGACAAATGCTCCCCTCATTCTTTTATACTAAGCGCTTGCAGTGATACTAGCTGCTTCCGCTGCCTGACAGCAGCAATGCCAAAAATAAAGCCACTGTAGTACCAAACTCTGTGAGAGGCTACTGACACAAGTGTGGAGAAAAGCCTCCCGGAGAGTCAAAACATTCCTCTCACCTCTAACAGGCCAAGTCAGGTCATTTACTGGCACTTGTTCTCCTGTAAATGATCCGATACAAGGCTGAAGCCATTTCTAATGTGTGACTGATAAGCCTTAACACCAAAACATATCATTTTCACATTTCGCATCAAGGTACTTTTATATTCACAAAGCAGTTAAGACGACACTATAGTCATTCCTTCTTCTACAGTCATACTGCAAAACAAGAGAACAACAACACCTCTGGTTTTGAAGACATATATTAGTCATGCCTGTCTGTTGTTTGCTTTTACTTTCAGAACAAATACGGGGAGTTAAGTAAAAAGAAGTGCATAAAAAACAAGAACAAACATCATAAATTAAAACAAATAATCAATAATCAATATCAGGCCAAGAACCTGAAGAATGGCAGCCAGGCAGGAACGTAGTAAACAACTTCCCGCGCCCCCTCCCATTTCTTTCCCCCCCTTACTCCCTCCCTCCTTTCACTCCCTCCTCACTTTTGCACACGTTGTTCATAACTGCTGATTTCCCTTTGGCCATAGCAATAGTATCCAACCCACCCACCCCCACATCATTCACATGAGGGCTGGCGTCTGCCCTCAGAGCTCGGTGTCATTTCCAGGGCTTTTACGCCATTGGTATTAATACAGAGCCATGCTCGGGGGAAAGCAGCCAAATTCCTTTACTACAACCATTAGTTTGTATCGCCTAACAGCGGAAGTAGTTAAACATAATTGTAACAGACTATGCGTTTAAAAGAAAGAGGCGGCTATAATGTTTAAACCTCGAAGATAAACGAGCTGGAGCATAGGCTTCAATAAAGCGGTCCGGAATGACAGGTGTCAGTCAGACGAGCTCCATGCAAACATCTTCAGTCGGTGTTATAAACCGGCTAAAAATACAGTGCACATATTTTGTGCGTAGAATTTAACTTAATCACGCTTTCCCACATGTTATGCAAAAAACGTGGTTGACCAGCCGAGGGCTGAGCAACCCAAATAACGTTATCTGCTTTCGGTTTCCTGTACAGTCAACACTGCCCCTCAAGGGAATAACTCATAAGCCTGCGAACGTATCGCCCTCAATTTTCACTGCAAGTACTCATATTAACTCAGCCAATTCACTACTGTTCAGTCATACTCATAATTACTGAGAGGAAATCCAGGCTCTTGACAGCCATTAGGTTGACACTGCATGCAGCCGAGAAACAATTTTGCAAACATCTACTCGTGCACCAACATTAAACCATTCAAATCTGCTGAGGAGACGGACAAAACACCAGTAGTAAGTAGTCTGATTCGGTGAATCTACACTGTTATATCAGCACCGACAATAGGTATCAAAATGTATCATATTATATTCACTCACCTCTGTAATTGTCCAGAAACGGTGTTCACATTATTTGGCAGTGTCCTCCCTTCGTGTGTATCAACGTGGTGGCCACATATTTTATCTTCCAAGTGCTGCATTGCCAAAACCAAAACATGAAAAATGTCACATTTGGGCTCAATCATTATCATCAAGATAAAAATCTATGGCATGTAGTATGAGCTCAAGAACACTGAAATTTGTATTTGTGTCTCTTGTATCCAAGCTACAATTGCATAACAAATGTTTGTGCTGTTTTCAGATGTGGCAAATAGGTTATAACGAGGTAATTATATTGACCGCAGCCACAAATCTCAATCAGAAATCAATGCACAGCTCCTGACCACGTTCAAAACCCTCCAAAACACAAAGTTGCGATGGTGTAAGCTGAGTGCCAGCATGAAAATCATCCCACCGCAAAAATGTATTTTCATAATATTCAAAATAATAACAAATAAGGTAGGGAAGTAATTGGCATGGCGTGGCCTCTTTGCGCTTAATATAACCCATGTATTGTGAGAGGTTTGTGTTTATTTTGTAACAAGCTAGTAGCTACCATCCGTCCAATAATAGCCCGTGCTACATTTTGTATCAATGGCACTGGCAGCGGCTAACTAGCCATCTATCAGCAGCCTGTTTGAGGACGATTTAGGCAAATTCCGCCGTGCACAGCTTTAACAGGTACTGTGTGTAGGCTGCAAATGAGTAGTAAACGCCTACAGCGTTCATACAATTTGTGTAAACCGAGTGAATATGACACAACCCTTGACAAGTGATGCACATAATCTTACATCTCCGTCACATTCTCGTAGGCACTCGTGTTACTACATCTCAGCTACGACGGCTAACGATGCACTAGCAAGTCAGCTAAACCAGAAAAATCTCCCAACGCTGACTCAAAGACAAACGCACAATTAAATCGACTGAAATACAGACACAAAAATGTGGCGAATTATATTCCAGTGTTATAAAATAACAGATGCAGCGCCGTGTAGGTTATTAAAAAAAACACTAACTGTCAACAAAATGGCGGCTGCGTTGAATCAACAGAGACCCGAAATGGATCTCCCTCTATTTCTTCTTCCTCGGTGCTATAATCCTTTTTCCTTACAGCAACTGGTATCCGTAATATCTCCAGAGATGCTCCGAAATCCACTCAGACACGCCGTTAGCTGGGCCTGGATGTGTCAGCACGGGCCTCTCTCGTTAGTCGGGCCTCCATGTCTGCTCAGCCCGTATCGCTACTGTGTCAGTACAACACGGGCATTCTCGGTCCCAGAGAGGGAGGGGAGGGAGGAGGACGGACCGAGGAGGGCGGAGGGGATAGGAGAGGAGAGAGGAGAGAGGAGGAGAGGAGACTGAGGAGGGGGGAGCAAATGTCGGTCGTACGCGGTTCCTGCGGTCCGTAGTCGTTGACAAAAATGCCTGTGTTTCATTATTACTCTATTTTCGGTAGCCGTTGAAGGCTGTGTCGGGTTGGTTGAGGGTGTGTTTTGCTGGTATGCAACAGTCAACTGTCAAACTGGCGGTGTCCGGCTACAGAGACTGTCAACATAACGTTACAGTATATAAACAGTACGGGCAGGAGAAGGCAACGGGAGCCCTTTAGCCTATAAATAAATCATTCTGCTCCATAAGGATGTTGTTCTTCTGTTGTGTTAGAGCTGAAACGATTAGCCCCTCAAATCAAGCAAGTCATTAACATTAAAGGATATGTTCATTTATTTTTAAATCTGTCTAATAACACTTGTCAGTTGCACATGTGAACATTGCAACAGTTTTTGATGGCTGGACTCATTCCTCCTTTTCATACTTGTCCTGGAGAGATCTTTTCCTAATGGCCTTTCAGTGGAAGTGATAGGGGACAAAATCTTCGGTCCTTGTTTTGTGCAGGACATATTCCAAAGTTTGTCCAAGTACAATATAAAGCTCTTGCAGTCAGACACGGATCAAGTTGTACCCCAAAGTCTTAAATAAAATAAAATTCCCTCAATTAGTAAAATATCTTTGGGTTTTTCAGACAGAGGATGTCAATTTGGGCTTTAGAAAATGCTAATTGGCAATTCTCTCTATTTTCTGTCTATTTACAAACAAACAAAAAAAGAAAAAAGTTCAATAAACTAATTGACGATAAAAAAAAATGATCAGCCTCAAAGTTACTCATATTATTATTATTTAGTAATTTATATGTTATTAGTTATTACTGCTTTCTTAGTGCCTTAGTTTTTATTACTTTATTTGTTTGGTTTGCACTGGTTTATATTGTCTGAATCAGCTACTAGATGCCTCAGTTTCCTTCAGGAAACATCAGTGGTGGATAGTACTCCACTATATTTATCTGAGAGCCAAAGTTACTTTGCAGATTTCTCAGGAGATCCTTTGCCCCACTACCATCAGGCTATATAACACCTCAGCCAAAGGAAGTGGACTAATCAAATTATTATTGTTTATTATTTATTATTAACTATTATTATTATTACTAATGAGCTATTGGGCACATGAATTTCCCCTAGGGGATAAATAAAGTATCTATCTATCTATCTATCTATCTATCTATCTATCTATCTATCTATCTATCTATCTATCTATCCATCCCTTATTAGGATTAGGCTATATAGGATTAGGCTATATTCTATCTACCGTGTTCTACATATGCTGCCATATCCAAATTAACCTTTCTATTCTAAGGAGGTAAACTGTTGTCATCTATTAAACAGCTACAACAGCCCTGACCACAAAATGCAAGAGGCACACATAAAAGCCTCAAATATGCACTCAGATCAGTGAAAAAATAACTGCCAACTGACTATTAAACAGATTGGTTGGTAGACAAATAAAAAGTCTGCAATATGGCTATGAATATACAGCATCTGCCTCTGAATCGTTTATGATTAGGGAGATGAAAGAAGGTGCAGAGGGTGAGGGTCACAGGGTTAGGCTTTAATAACAGATTTATGTATGGAGGAGCTAAATGCTGAATCTGATTGGGTGGAAAAAGGTCAACAAAATACTGAATTAAGAAACTGTCTTACCAAGAGCCTTAATGCAAAATGTTACTTCATAACTCTGTGAATTCCCATCAGTTTGACTACCACTGGCAGCTCAGTGGTGATTAGTTCATGAGATCAAAGTCAGTCATTCAGAAAACAACCTAGGAGAGCAGTGTAGTGAGAAGGGCACATCGCATCCACATCTTGTCAGCAGATTGCTGCGTCCTTTTGTGTATAGTGTATCTTAAAACTGGTGAAGGTGTTGGTGGAGAAAATATAAAGGTCCTCAGAGACGCATGAATCAAGCGAGAGTTGAAGCTGCAGCTTTTGACCATGATCTAGTCATGTATTTTATTAAAGCAGTCGGTGTGGAGGGAAAAGTTTGAGGTGAGCAGCGTGTCTCTTGAAAACAGTAAAGGAGGTAGAGCTGTTTGCCCCGTTTTTCAGATCGCCTGCCTCTCTTGTTGCTCTGTCCTGATGGAGCGGTCTTCTGGGGGCTCTGATGTGGGCGGGAGGCTGTTGTCAACACCGTCAAGGCTTTTGCGGCACACTGGGCAGGTATCATGCTGTGAAAGGAGAGAAAACGTATTCATCTGTAGGCAAAAAGTCAGCGACGCAACTGCATTTAGGGTAGGGGGCAACCTGAGAGAGCATTAGTACATCACTGAGTAACAAAAAAGGTTTCTGTGTTGTCTTCACAGCCCTTGAGTCAGAATGTGAGACACACTGTAAAAACCTTGATGACAAATCCAACAGACTTTCAAACCCCCTCAACCAACTGACCACAGCCATCTCTCGTCCTTACCAGCTCCAGCCAAGGCACTATACAATGACTGTGGAAGTAATGGAGGCAGGGTAGTTTCCTGACGGATTCCCCTAATGAATACTCCTCCCTACAAACTGGACACTCCAGTCTGCTGTCTGGGAGAGAAAAATAAGAAAAAACAGAGACAGAAAGTAAGATTCATTACACCACAAATGTGCAAGGCAGGTCCATAAGCCACTGCTGTGTAACACAGTGATGCTTTTGTAATGTCGTCATTTCATCTTGCCCCAGTTTATTCATGTGTGAATAAAGATTTAGCAGCAATGCGTTTACTTCAGATTTTATAAATGATAAATCATGTTTGTCTGTTTTTTTTTTTTACAATAAAAAGTCATTCTAATGTATGAATAAAACTATATGGGGTCACAAGACTGTGAGTGGTAGCTTTCTTAGATCCTTGGCCAACTTAGCTTGCTTTGTCTTTTAGCAGCACTTGTAATGTGTAAGCTGCTATTTCTTAGGCCAGGCCAGAAAACATCTATGAATGACATACTCATAACTACAGTGTTCATGGGAATATGGGAGGGAGGAAGGAAGGATAAGAGGATTGAAGGAAAGATGGGGAAAAGAAATTACAGGAGGAGGAAATGCAAGATAGGAAGAGGAAGGGATAGACAGGAAAAGAGATACTTTTATAGACAGGAAAAGAAAGATAGGTGGGAAGGAAAGATAGGTGAATGAAAGGGAAGGTAAGAGGAGTGAAAGAGAGACAGGAAAGATGCGGGGAGGAAAGGGAAGATGCGAGAGTGGAAGGGAAGATAGAAGGAGGAAGAGAGCAGTAAGATGCCAACGGATGGAGGGAAATATCACTACAGGGAAGGAATTATCAAAGGAGGGAAGAAGATCTAGGAAAGATAGAAGAATGAAAGGAAAGATGAGAGGAGGGAAGGAAAGATAGGAAAGAAAGATAAGAGTGGGAGAGGAAAGATAGATTGAGGAGAGGAATGATATAAGAATGTAGGAAAACAGGAAGAATGAAGCAGATATAAGAGCGAAGGAAAGGAAATGAAATGAAAGGAAAGATGGGAGAAGGACAGAACATATACCTTACTGTAAAGGAGCAACGTTTCAATATAAAAGTTTTTCTAACCAGTCTCCTAATATCAGCTGTATTGGACTGATCATGTGATTCAGTGTACAGTATGGCATGCTGGGATTCCCACCTGTCTGTTCCTGAGAGATGCAAACTGTTGGCAGGGATGAGATCATGTCCTTTTCTGCAGGGGGTGGACCTGTGCTCTCCAACTGTCCCAACAACTAGGTCAGTGGGTGAAAAAAACAAATAGTGTGGATGTATAGGTGGAGAAGGACAGAGAGACAACAGACAAAAAGATTCTAATGGATAAAAGCATGAAAACTAAACAGCTGATAACTTTATTATATCAGATTTGGGGGGTGTAGATAAAGAAAGATGTGGGTGTCAGGGTATGTATGAGAAGATGGAAGAAAACCACATTACAGCTTATAATGTGGCCACAGTTCTTCAGAAGCACCACTCAGACATCACTGACCTCTGTGATAACAGCATCCAGACCTCCCTGACCCCATGCATAGTCTCCTGGGTTTGAGTACAACTGTAGCATGCTGGATCTGAGGGACAAACACAAAGACACCGGGAGAGAGAGAGAGAGAGAGAGAGAGAGAGAGAGAGAGAGAGAGAGAGAGGGAGGTTGTCACACAAAGTTACATGAAAACAAAAGTAAATGATGTGAATTAAAAAGTGTTTACAATGCAGCTGGTGCAACACCAGGGTTTCCACTGTTGGCAAACAGGCCGGCCAAGAATTGCTGCACGATCCTTGAAAAGGGCAAAAACAGACAGCAGACATGTCTGCCTTAGTGTGCTTTCATAACACATACTTCATGGTGTATTTAACAGTTTCAACTCATGCCTTGACTCTATGAGTTTATTTGGAGCTGGTAAATCAACTGATGCATGCAACTGATCTCTTTAGTCAAAACGACAACAGACACACGGCATATTAGTTAGTGTTAGTGTTAGTGTTAGTGTTAGTGTTAGTGTTAGTCAGCATGTATGTAGCAACTGAAGAAGGTTTTTATGACTGCACCTTTAGGGTTTATGTCAAATGATTACAGAGGTCTTGGTTTCATGAATATAATGCAACCACTGCAAAACCATATAATTATTAGGTAATGAAATTACTCAAATAACAGGGTGAAAATCTCTTCAAGTAAAAAATATTAGCTTTTTTCTTTACATACAGTACACTGAACCCCCCTAAAAATTCATTGGACATCTTTGCATTTGTAGTACAGCTGAAGCCCCTGTACCCCGGACTACACAGTAATAACAGTAATAAGCTTTCTCTTATATTTTCAGTACTGTGTTGTGTTGTTATGTGATAGTGTACTGTTGCTAAAAGGTTACACCCATTGCTTCAGCTGGAATCACTTTTTATAAGACATGCAAGAGTAATGTCATTTGTGAGTCCTGAATAGCATGCCGCACTAGTCTTTATACTGAATGTTGTCAAATAAACTCAATAAAGTTTAATCATGAGAGAAAGTTTTTGGCCCCTTAATCATTTATGATCTGATGATATGACACATCCGCTCTGGTGATCAGATGGACTAAACACTGGACCTCAAAACTACATGATTGCTCCTCGGTATTTTATCATCATTTTAAAAACATTAATGTCACTATTTTATAGTTTTAGCTATAAAGATCCATCCTTCTTTCTTATTCTGGTGTTTTGTTCCCCGTCCAACAACAACAACAACAATATACATTATATTAATAATAAACTCCCTATTTTAAACATTTTAACAATGTCACCCAAAGTATTTTCAGCTTATGTAAATCTCCTTCATTTTAATTTTTTATCATTTATTTCATTTTCATCTTATCATCCAGTAATAATATTACTACAACTCATAAATAAAACTTAGGTACTTAAAGAGAATCTAAGTTATTCCTTATCCTCTTGTCCTCTTCCCTTTTACTTGCATATTTTTCCCAGTGTAGGTAGGTACCAGTAAGATTTTTGATTGATATCCAGCATGTATTTTATAAATACATTAATTTGCAGTCTGTAATCTCAAGCGTTAATCACCTGTTGAAGCAAATCACTCCCATGTAATGATGTGTATACATCTTAAAAAGGGGTTTCAACCTTGTAGAAATGTATAAGCCTATAGGTACTATGAAAATGATTTAGTTGTTTCTGTTCACAGCAAAATTATAAATGGATTTCTGTGCAGAAATACAGATGTTAATGTATGTATATGTATAGGTGATTAAAGAGAAATATCTAAAAGACTGGCATACTGAAGGATTTATATGCGTTCAGCACACATTGTTGATGTTTCTGTGTACCATGTCCACACACCCTTCCACAGCAGGCCTTTGTTCAGGCCTAGATGACCGCTCTTGTTCAGGCGGGGAAGATGATTCTGGTTCCCCGGCCTCAACAGAACCCGATGACACCGGAGGAGACTGGCTCTGACCTGCAGATACCTGCTCGCTGTCGTCTGAGTGGGACTCTGAGGAGGGTGGATGCGACAGCAGAGCAGAGCGTTCCATAAACAGCAGCTGCCATAACTTGGAGAGAGACCAGAGAAGCAATGTGTCAAACAAATCCTTAGAGAAAGAGGAGTGTTGTTATTAAAATGCCATTCGTAAGGACATACTTCTGAGAACAACGAGTTTGAGTCCTCACTCGCCGCTGATGTGCTGTTCTGCAATAGACTGGAGAGCAAAGTAAAAATCAGTTCACACTTCTTTTACTGGCCTGACATTGATACCTGTCAAATATAAAGCTTGTATTTTCAAAATTTTTACTTTTCAGACTTGCCTTCTCAGTGATCATCATCATGCATTTTAAGCCTCAAGTACAGGCTTAAAAACATTTGTCTAATCCAGAGAGGTAAGTTTCTCAATTTACAGTAAAAAGAACAGTCAATATAAACGGCCAAACTGAGCTGTACCTGGAGTCTTCTGCCACCTCCTCAATGAAGCCAGAGTCACATCTGGGGCAGACGAAATCCTTTAAGACAAAAAATATATACACACTACATTGCCAAAGGTATGTGGACACTCAAGCTTCTCATCTCATTCTAAAACTATGGCTGTTAATCTGCTGCTGTAACCACCTCCATTCTTGTAGCAAGGCTTTGGACAAGAATTTGGGACCTGGCTGTAGAGCTCTGCACTCATTGAGCCACAAGAGCAGTGGGTGATACGGCCTGGCTAACAGCCGGTGTTCCAGTTGGGGGGGGGGGGGGGGGGGTGCGGGGGGGGGGGGGGGGGGGGGGGGGGGGGGGGGGGGGGCATGCAAAGAAGGTACCCAGCAAGAATCAAACCAAACAAATGGCAGTTATATGGTTTGCATTTTAACTACTTGGTAACTGTCACGTTGACATAGGGATTGGCAAAAAAAAACAGGAAGCACACTATTGCCTTAACTATCATTGCATTTGGCTGTGGCATTTCTATTTACCTTATTGGAACTAAGGTACATAGCCCTGAGGCTCATAGATAGATAGATAGATAGATGGTGTTATATACCCTTATTGCAGTGGGGCAAAGGATCTCCTGAGGAATCTGCAAATTAACTTAAGCTTTCAGATAAATATAGTGGAGTACTGTCCATCACTGATGTTTCCTGTCAACTAACAAAGTAAAGGCAAATGCCAAACATATTATCCAAAAAAAATAAATAGACAAAAGTGTGAGAGCAATGATCTCCACATATTTTCATCTACGTGGTGCACATTAATCCTCTGTCTCTCTCTTGACATGTGTGCTATACGGTCTATCATAACAATATCAGTGGTAACTGCGCAACAAGTGCGCTCCAGCTGAGGCTTCCACGGAGCGCTCCCTCCCGCACCTCCAGCAAAATAAATAAAGGTCAAACAGTCACGTCCTGAAATTGAGCTTTACTGTGACAAAGAGAGCGGACAAAACAAACCGGGCTCCAAGTCGATAAATGCAACTATTTGCGGCTCTGGGGGCATGTGACGGTGTCTGAAGCACTGTTACGAGCTGCTGGTGCATGTGTTGACACCCAACCAGCCCCTCTTACGTCTCTCACACGCGGCTGACAGTAGACAACTGGACACAAAGTCGCCAACAGTGGTGCTTCTAAATATGGCAACGTGAATCGCCAGATTTTTCTCCCTCTCTCTCTCTCTCTAATGTAAGATCTTGGTGCATGCTGTGCGCACATAAAAAGAAAACACCACCAGGTTGACATATGTGTGCTTCAGTGATCCTAGTAAATAGTCAATTTAGAGCAAATAGTAAAATATCTATCTTTGCACGTTTAAAAGAGAAAGAGTTCCTAATCATCGTAATCCCTCCCTCGATAGGCGCGGTGATGATTCCCAGGCCAGCACGTGTGGAATAAAAACACTCTCCAAAAGTGACTCACCGGGAGTTTAGGGTTTGTTTCACTTTTACAGCAGTGACAGAAAAACCGGTGTTGTGGTTCCTCCGCAGCCTCCGCCATCTTCACGGTGCAGCGCAGCGCCTGACGTCGGTGTGTCAGCCCATAAAAGTCTCAGACGGTTGTCCGAGGGATCAGAGCAGCCCAGGAGGGTTTGGTGCCCAGGACGTGTCAGAAAACCGGCAGCAGATGGCACATTAATATCATTTAAGAAGCAGACAACACATTCATTACAGTTACGTTTATAATTAAAAGGCAATTAAAACGGCAATACTTTTAGATTGGTTGCGTGATAGACTATTTTTTAAACAAAAATATTTACCCGTTGCTTCATGATCAGACTTACTAGGTCAGTGCTGCAAATATCAAGTGGCAAAAAGAAGCAACAAGTTGTCAGGATGACATCAGGGCTGCAGTTTCCTTGAAGTATGTTGGGTGTCGCCAGAGTATTAAAAAAAGTCTAAGGGGATCCTCTATTCAATTTATTGAACCCTATGCCTGGATTGGATCAGTAAACTTAGCTTCGCTTTTACAACGCAGAAACTCGACCCAAGCTGTTTCCTAGCAACGCAATTCCAGTTAACGGTTGTATATAATGTCACGTAATAACAGTGTAAACAAACTGTGTGTGCAAATAATGTGTTGAATTTCCTTAAATTGAAAGGTTTGAGCCTATTAGAACATAAATGCACTATCAAAATACACATAAGTTCACATAATTCGTGACCTTGCAAACCGTTTCCATGACAACTCGGCGACTCCATCTGCTGATGAAGATGGTGTGATGGGAGCTGCTAATTAGTGGACCTTGTGGTGAGGTTGTTTTTGTCTACAGCATGTATCTTAATGTTGATCAGTAACATAAGACAAAGATAACTGTACTTGACTGTGTAAGCATGACAATTTATTTTTTTTCAAACCAAGACAGTGATCTGTAATAATCATAAGAACCACAAGCAGCACCAACAGAACAGTGACAGGTATATTTTAACTAAAACGACACATGTTCATAAAGTTTACTGTATGAAACATTTTGGCAATATGATAAATAGGCATTCTCATTTGGAATAATAACAAAACAACTTGTTAGTTTTACACTTAAGCAACAAAAAGTAGCGTTGGCTAAAGTTGATCCGCTCAGTTATGGATCAAATGTTAGAATGGCAACGTTTCAGCTCCAACTCTTACATTTGTTGCAAACATGGCTCCTCCTAAACACAATGTACATCCAAGTCATTTAAAATGGGAAATATCCACGCTTGTACTATCCCACTTGGCACACAGCTTTGTCTCCTCATATAAAAAGCGCTTCCCTGCATTCACCGACACTAGGTACGACTGCGGTAAATTTAATACAGCTGCAGCATCTTATTGTTTTCACATCTTTCATCTCACATCTCATGCCATTTTTCTGCTTCTTGAATCAACACGTATGATATGTTGACTCCTGGTTTGGCAATATAGCTAACTTGTCCTGTACACATTTTGAAATTAGACAACCCCACCTCTGTCTCATGCACGTGCCCTAAAGTTCAGGTGCCCCGGGGTAATTATAAAGACTCACCCACCCCCTTCATCAAATTCTAATCACCTGTGGGGAAATAAATACCAAACCATTCCTCCATCAAGCTGAAAAGGCCCTCCTCCTGCACTTCTTACCCTCCCAGCCCCTCTTGTCCCTCTCTATCGAGGTGCGGTGAAGGCCCCCTGGGCGGCGTTGGCAGCGGCCTGGCGTACGGCCTGATTGGACATGACTCCGGTGGCAAACTCAGCCTGAGCCTTTTGGAAGCTGGCATCGGTCTGCCTGTACAGACTGTGGACCTGGAGTGGGGAGGAGCAGAGAGCGCGCTGACACCCGATACATGCAGCAATTCATCATCATATCATGCTCATTGTGAGGGTGAAAATGATACGCAGAACCTGATATCGAGGCTATTCTTCAGACTGCTTGTTATCTACTGAGTGCTTCATGGCAGCTGGACCACCTGGGCAAGGCAGGTGCGAGTATTTGCGCAGAGCAGGTAGAAAGTGCAAATACAGTTTGTCTTTCTTCTTACTTGAGAAAATGAGACCTACTAGATCATATCACACTTTTTCCTACTGTCTCACATTTACATATTGAAAGCATTTAAGTATTAATGACTTACAACTACTAGTCCTACACTTTGTACTTTACATTATCATATTGTTATACATTATATTGTTTTTCTGACTCTTTGTGTAATTTCAACATTTATTACATCCAATTTCCAGCTTTCCATTGACTTTCAAGAACTCCACAGGGACTTTGTGAGTGAGCACTAATATCCCTGTAATGATCAGTAATATCTTGATTTTGTTTTACATCGTATTCTGGTTTCAGAAATCTGGTTAAGTCGGTAAAATAAAAAATGTGACAGTACTGCTATGCTCACGTTCAGAGGGAGATAACTAACCAGGTTTCTCGTGTTCCATTTAAGTGTCTTATCCCAACTATGGCCAAAACCAGGATAAGACTCAAAACCATGATACTAACGTGGATGCAAATACTCGCAAAGACACTGCACAAGGCTCACGCTTTGTCCCATTTACTTGTGCCTATGCTCCACGGAATTTTCTGTTTTTAAAAAGGTACTACTCCGAATATCCTGTTAATTAGTCCGTGCAGGGATAGTGTGACTGACACCTTGTCAAAAATTCAACCTTAATTTGAGTCACTACCTGCGAATTTTTCCTGCATGCGAACAAATTTATTCACCTTCTTCAGCATGACAACCCCCATGGCGGTTTGGGCAGTAAAGAGGATGGCATTCATCATCATGATTGCGCCGACGGGGACGCTCGTCTTCAGAGCAGCCAGGCTCACGATCCACCCGCTGAGGGAAAGAGACGGCGAGACAGAGAAATAAAATGACAGAAACAGAGAGAAGGACGGTGAGGGAAGTCAATTCACATCCTCATTTGCACCTGGAATTAAAAGGCAATCTGTGTGTGAATACGTTATCATAAATGACATTTTACACCTGATATTAATTATGCTCTCATTATCTTTGTTCTGTCAGCATTGTCAACTCAAATAAGGACAGCGTGTACTTAGTCAAGCAGAGTTAACAATGTTAGCTGGCTGATGAAAGAAAAAGTTCCACTGCTACACTGAACTTTACTTTCTGAAGAAAGTGAGTTGTACTGATGGCATTTACACTTTGCACCCTCGCCGTGTAGCCTGGAAAATCTGATCGTATCCTGATTTCAAACAGCTTTCTTCATGACAAAATGACATGTGACAGTGGGAAAAGCAGAGGTGTAATTAATAACATTTGTTTTTTCTTCCCCAGACAACGAGAGACAACCAGATGCACATTGTTTCTACATGAGTTGTGCATCAGTCTAACACAGAGATGGTTTACTTATTAGTCATACCTGAAACCCCATCCAGGGATGCCAATAGTCATGATGACGTAGACGACCACTTGGGCAAAGAAAACGAAGAAGAAGACGAAGAAGTTGAAGGAGCTGTCACTCCTAGAGAGGACAAGAAAAATATTTTTACTAAGCAAAATGAAGCAACAGCTCCCTCACATTCATTTACAGTACGCTTTACTAAAGCAAATACATAGGATGCCTTTAAAGGCCCTGTACACCAGCACAGGTTTTTGTTTTCACTTGGTCTGGTTGAGTTGCTTGAGTTGTTTAAGTTGAGCAGGGCTGTGCTGGAAGGTACTACTAAAAAAAATTATACATGTGTAAGCTGTCATTTCCTACCAACTACTAAAGTACTAACAGGAAATTGGAGCAGATGTCCACACAGTCCTCTAAAACTAAAACCCAGCATGCGAGACTGGGGAATGATAAATGAAATCTAAACACAACAGAGTTAAGTGTGTTGGGATGAAATAATTTCTCTTGTTTGAGATGAAGCAACTGTGTTTGCTTTCTGATTGTTTGCTTCCCTTTGCTCGCTCCTTATCTGGTGTTCTTAGTTCAACTTCCTTTGGTTTTTCTCTTTGACTCAGTTCCTATTAAAATGTGGGGTAGAGATAATGGCTGCTGTGGGCCATTTATCAAGTGAGTTACACATATTTAACTTTTCTAAGGGCCGTGCTACAGCAGGTCTCAGATGAACCTCTAAGAATGTAACATTTTTATTTGGCTCGTCCTCGGTTGTAGCCAAAACCAAAAAACTTTAAATGGAAAGTAAAGGGTAAAGTTGGAGTTTTCTGGCCCACAGACTTTTGGTACACACCTGAATGCTTTGTACACAGGCCGGTACCAGCAGACGAAGGAGCAGGGGGTGAAGAGGAGCCCCCACAAGATGGCTAGGCCCAGGCCAACACCATTAGAGGGGTCCACGCAGAACATGGCCAGGGAGGAGATCAGGTTGAAGAGCAGCGTGCAAGTGCAGACTGGACATTGATGAAGACGGATAAAAGAAGACACAATGTACAAAGGACAAAGGGAAGTGGTTAGGCAAGAATGAAAAGCCCTGCAGTCTGAGTTGAGGGATATCTGTCTTTGTTGCTTTAATACACAACTGTGGAATGGAACAAAAAAAATCCCCCCTCCCTCATAAGAAGACAGTTTGTCAGGAATTTGGCTGATGCAATATGACGCTATTTGTTGCTACTTCTCTTTGCCTACTGCTGGGTGTAGAATTGGCTCTTTCTTTGGTCGTCCCTAGTTCCAGCCATAAGACTCGAGCTGGTCTTTAGGGCATGGCTGAGGAGCAAAAGCTACAAGAATCATCACCATTGTCTGAAGCATTTCTTAACACCCATTTCTATAACCTGTTAGCCCCAGGTGTTAATCTTGTGGCGGTCTCTTGTTCTCGTTTTGATTTCGTTAATAGAATCCATATGGTATTTAATTGAAATGGAAAGCAGTTTAAAACCATTTTAAAAAAACTATATTCTATACAGAGAGATTTTTATTTTATACTGTTTGATGTTCAAATCTGAAATCATATTACTCTGATCATAGTGAAATTTACTTTGGGTGCATAGAGGGTGACTGACCTCTCTGTTACTTCCCTTCAAGACAGATTTCTTGCTTGTTCTGTCATTTTCAAAACCGCTATCAAGGTTCATTTTAGATCATGGTAGAACCCAAACTTAACTTACTCTTGTGAGCAGGCATGTGAACCCGAAAACAGATTCCTTTTAGTCCCCCTTTAACTTTTTTCCAGTGTTCGCACTGACGGTGTCTGGACAAGAATTACTATCAGAAGCTTGGTGTGGGTCAATAATAACAATTTATTTATTTGAAAACAATTTGATTTGGCTCTTGTGCAGACGCCCCGGGTGAAGATGGCTGAATCTTCTTCAAACTTTCCTAGACACTGATTTTTGGCTGGTTCCTGCCACCGTCCTCAATCTAGCAGTTAAGTGTCAGAGTCTTTGTGCAAACATTCAGGCTCGTACTCCAGACAGGCCAGTGGATGGCACAGAGGTACGAGTCAGCTCTGGGTTCAATTTCTCATGATATTCTCTTAGCTCTTACTGGCTTCCACTGATAAATCTTACATGTTAACAGGTGGAGACTCTAGAGTCAGTGTAGTTTCACTCCAGTCCCATATACCACTGGATCCCCACACCACTCCGTACAAACCCCTAGAGAGCTACGATACGCCATTTGTGGTGTTACATAATGACACTAATGTTATGCGGAGAATTTAGACAATAGTGCAGCAGAGTAAGAATAACAGGAACTCACACATCCAGAAGTAGTACATGATGGTGACTGTGCGCTGGAAACGCTGGCTGATCTCCACATTAATGTCCTGGTAGAAGCAGGGGCCCACAGGGCAGAATGAGGGCAGCGGGGGCCAGTTATTCTGACGTGCTGAACAAGAGAACAGTGTGGGGAAAAAAGGAAAAAAAAAAATCACTGATATTGATTACTCAAGTCCCCCCCACTTAGCATTTATAAGCAGAAAATAAACATTTAATAAAGCATTTTTAATACTACAATCAAGTTGTAAGGAGATATAAGTGTTTATTAGGGTATTTGTCACCAGCTATAACTCATCGTGTGGATGTAAGTGGAGGCTGCTGAATAAACACAGCTGTAAAAATAGAAAATGTGTCTTAATAGAACATGTTATCGTTGTTAACAAATACTATACATTAATAATCACCTAAAATTCAACAACATTAAGAATGTGTTATAACCCATTTATTAAATGTGTATATGTCTCTAAACGCCCCCCTCCGCCCAATCCCATCTCTCTCTTACAGGCTCCAGGTCCCAGGCTGTGTGACTCCAGCTCCCTCTCTCTTCTCTCCAGCTCCCGGGCTTTCTTCTCCAGCTCCTCCTGCTTCCTCAGGAGCTCTGCTGTGGTTGCATTCACTGCAGTCTAATACAGTAAGACACGAGGGAAATGATGCACCAGTCATGTCAAGTTTCAAAGAGATAGGTTGCGTTTGTGTCATAAATAATGAAAAGGATTAAGGATGTAAAAGACCTGGTATCTGATGGGGAAAGATCCCCAGAGGAGAATCTGCCAAGTGTGTGAACATCAATTGTTTTCTATGAAGTGTAGTTGCGGGACTGAATGTAGGTACAATGGATAAGTTTAGACACAGTTTTTAGTTTGAGTTATTCAGAGATCTACCCATAGCAGTGGGATCCATAAAAACACTTGTATTAATAAATCGTTCATTGGAGCGCTGTCCTGCTGATGATCTGGGATATTTGTGTTTGAGGATTCAGCACTCAGCTACACACAGAGAAACTGAGTGGGTTGACTCATTATAATATCCACAGAAACGCTTTCCATGACACTGAAGGACAGACTCTGTACCCTGTGCACATTTAACAGTACAAGTACAATCCCATTTTTGTGCGTCCAAACGCCAGTGAATGTGCTGACGTGAAGGTGAGCCTTCGTCTAATGAGTGACAACAGTGACTACAGGCGTCTTTACAATGCAGCATGTACAGGTTACCTGGGAGTTATAGGAGCCATAGTTGCGAGGCTCTGTGGGTGTTGTCCTGCTGGGTGGGGTCTGCGCAGGCACAGATGGAGCAGAGGGAGAGGTGGCTTCATATGGCGGTGGGGGCTAGAAAATATGTAGTAATAAGACAGACATCAAAATTCATTTTGGCCTCATGGATCACAACCTGTAAACAAAACCCAGCCTTCATCCAGGAGCCGGGCATTGTGTCATGACAGCAGGGGCTAGAAAAATGGATGCATATATCCTTTTTCAAATGTATTGACAATATGTACATTTATTCTTGTGTGTCATACTCACGAACATCCAGATCAAGAATACCGCACATACATTTTCAAAAGTCAAAAAATAAACTAGAACTGCAACTAATGAACAAGGAATTCATTTATTATTTAATTACCTTTCAAATTGAACAACAATTTCACTTTTTGATCGGCACACCTGAATATTTAAGGGACAGACCTTTTGGAGTCTCATTTAATAACATGTATAGATATTTTTGTTAATGTCCTTCCTCAGGCAGCAAAGATTTTATTCTAGCATAAGTAAATGACTTCTGTATTTTGTCCCATATCATAGACCACCATAATAAAGCACAACCCAATTCCCTACTCACAATATAAATCTGTGACTAATGATTGCGATTGTCCAGAACCAGTACCAGACCAAGACGGGAGTGAGTCTGTGTTTCACACAAGGCAGTTAACCGTGGATAACTGTGGGAGTGGGCACGAGGGTTGTGCACTTACTCAGTTTCATAAAGTCGATGACTAGTTCAGTTTCAAACATGCTGAACAAGCCCAAGTTTAGTCCCTGTTGCTGCAGCATATTTGCTAATACCAACAGCTGACAGGAAGTACACGTAGACCCAAGCTGTCTCTTAGCAACAAAACTCCACTGACACAGCCCATAACTTAGACACAAGCTGTTTCCTAGCAACAAAAATCACTAAATTCTAAATCATGCAACTGAGGTGTGTAACACACACACACCAGTGTTTCAGCTTTATTGTCTCTTCTTTCTGCTTTCGTGGCAACTGGTCTTAGTTTTGTTTAACATGTATAATGAAGTATATACAGTTCAATCCAGTCGTCATACTCAAGGTTGGATAAACATGCGGGCAAAGCAGGTGCAGCCTCGCAGCCATGGACGGATTATGAGACAATGGGATCCTGGGCACAGATGTGTTAAAGACCCCCCACCGCTCCCACATAAGAGACACAAATGACATGCTGTTTTAGCCTTTATGTCTCTTTGTGGTCATTTTGTGTGTTGTTTTAGTTGCTTTGTATGTTTTTGTAGTTGTCTTGTTTTGTGGTGGTCCTTTTGTGGTCATTTTCTGTCTCTGAAGTGGTCTGGTGTCTCTCTGTAGTCGATCTGTGTATCTTTGTAGTCACTATTTTTGTCTTTGCAATAGTTTTGTGTCTCTTTGTAGTAAATCGGTGTCTTTGTATTTACGTTGTGTCTCTTTGAGTCATTTTATTTCTCTTTGTAGTTTGTGATGTAGTTTTGTGTATCTTGGTGGCCACTCTGGTGGCATCACCTTGAGGTCATCTTATATCACTTTATAGTCATTTTGCTACTCTTTGTAGTTGTTTGATTGAGTTTCCAACAAAAAGAATTTAACAGTGACTTCAAACAGAGGCTCTGGTCCATTCATGCCCGGGCCCGAGAACTGTAGCGGCACTGAGAGCTCCATCTTTACTGTGTGTCAACTAGTTGGAAGGATTTTTTTGGAACTGTGTCAAATTTCCAGTTTATTTCTATCCCTTAAACAATAATCTCACTTTATACAACATAATCAACTTCTTATCAACATAATCACATAGACACTCTTACAGTGTGTGTTGTTCTTTATAACTATCCACAAATTGTTTTATTCATTTATTAGTTTTTACAGGAGATATCCTCCCTTTGTCTGCAGCCAACTCTGGAAGCAAGATGATAAAAGATTAAAAGAAACTCTCGGAGTGAACATTAAACTAAAAGGCAACTTAGTCTGATTATCTGGCTTCACTTTGCAGCCTTGTGCTTACATACTGCACATTTCTAAATGAAATTGTGTTAGGTCAAATGACCCCACAGCAAACCTGGAGACAGGTACTTTAGCGCTGCAATGAGTAGTTGACAGATGAATTGATAAGGAAAATAATCATAAGTTGCATACCTAGTTATTTTAATCACCCCTCTTTCATCTCACATATGGGAGAGAAATATTGCTCACCCCAGTTGTGTTGTCAAATGGGTTGTAAAGGTCCAGTGTGGCATATCCTGTGTTGCTGCTGTGTTGAGTCACTGCAGGGTCCTGTAAAAGAAAAACGAAAAGGGTTATTTTAAGTATATAAATGAGTAATTTTGATTTGCTGGAACATTAATCCTCATTTGACAAAAGTGACCGGCTTTTATTAATGTGTTCATTGTTAATAAGAGCTACAAGTGGGCAGAGATTAGTGAGGGCAGACAGGCCCAGAAACAGCCACACATATCACATGAGCAACAACACGGCTGCTATTACACAGAGCCAACATCAATGACTTCCATCCATCAAACACACCGTGAGAGGCAGATGCTAATTTTAGATTTTATTTCATAACACCCACCTGAAAAGGATTGTGGTCGTCCACTGGCTCTGGAAAGCTTGTGTATTTTGACATGTTGATGACTGTTTTTTTGGGAAATCAGAGCTAATGTCAAGTAGCCACCACTTCCTGCTAAAGTTAGGGAAGAAATAAGCAGCCGTCTTCTATCAGATAAAATGCTGCGTTTTCCTATTTTCCAAAACGAAAGGACGGGCGGCGTTTCGGTTTATCCACTGAACTAGCTTCTCGCCTCTCCTCCGGTCACCATGTCTCTGAAGTAACAGCTGAAATAACAGGTGAACACGACGTAACGTTACAGACGGGTTAATGGTTGTATCCCCTGGAGGTTCTTCCGTATCAGTCCTGAATCTCAGGGTCTGGTTTGCAGCTATGTTATGTCGCAGGAGATCAAAACAGATCGGTAATTTTTCTCCTGCAGGAAAACAACGGAGGCTCAGGAAGTAACCACCAGCCGAGGTCATGTGACTGCTGCTGCGGCAGAGAAACACGTGGAACAAACGGGGGCGTGGCCACTTGTTTGTTTTATTTTATTTTATTTTATTTTATCCTATTTTATTTTATTTTATTTTATTTTATTTTATCCTATTTTATTTTATTTTATTTTATTTTATTTTATTTTATTTACGTGCAAATAATTAGCCCCACAAATGTCATTTTCCCAGTGAAGTCACTGATGAATACACAAATTAACGAATGAGTTCCTCTTTTCATTGAGTAGGCCTACACCATTGTGGTTAATCCAAGTCAACAGCATTATTCCTTACAGTTTTTCCTTTTAAACCTGCACCGGACACAAATGAGATGTAAGATCAGGGAGGTTATCTTTGAAGCTTTGAGGTAAAATTAGATATAGTCCTTGCAGCAGAGCCTGCAATTCAATTTCTTAAATGGCCTTAATTAGAATTTGTTTAGAAAGCCTCTAACCCAATCATTTGCTGAATTAAAAATTATTATTTCCAATATGTATCTTGAATTTGATTCATTTAGTGCTAAAAATTGTGCAGATTGTCACAGGTAATGGCTCTTTGGAAAATGATTTGAATGCTTTAAACGTACAATGAACACTTGATTTTAAGTTGTGTATATATCTTACCCAGTAATTTCATTAACTAAAATATTCTGTCCTTTAATCCCAATTTGGGATTTTAACTGCAAAGTCTATTAAGAGAAGTAAAATGAGCAGCATCGTCATGGTTTTTCTGTAGGTTAAAGACAGCACATGTTTGATCTCAGTCTATCTCTGGCTCTGTGTTTATGTAACTGCTGGTTAAAGGTTCCCTGTGGAGCTTGAGCCCTCTGGTGATACTATGGAGCTGTTTTTCTTCTAGTGGGTCCATCTTTTCTTTATTTAGCGCAGGTGCATGAGGATGCACATGCATGTGCAGGCTGGTGACGTGATACGCTGCTCTGCCAATGGTGTCACCCTATTCCACTGATCTGTGGGTGGCCGTGACACCTCATGACATGCTGCAAAGGCAGGAAGGAAGACCACAAGCTAAACATGTATGTAAACAATGCTGGATTTAAAATACCTTAAAAATCTGCTTTGCAAATGATGTATGAAGAAGAAAAAGTGCTGAACATGTTTGTTAGACATGAAGGATACACACAGTGTGTTTTGGTGATTTATACTGAATGTAAACATAACTCTTTTTGTCAACAAGAAAACTCCTCAGATCCTCTTTAATTGTCATGTTATGCTGTTTTGAATGGGTTCGTTCATCCTCTTCCAGCAGATGTCACTCTTGTGCCTTGAAGGAATCATTATTCCCACTTTTCTGGTCTCACCTAGATGTGATTCTCAGGACAGATGTGGGATTTAAACCACAGGCAACTGTGTTAGCTCGAGTAAAGCAAAACAAACATTTATCTTTAAAAAAAAGATTCATTTCATTACTTTATTTGACAACTGAGTCATTGGTCCAAGAATGTTATTTTCATTGTTGCTTTATCCACAAGTATAATAAGATGTGAGTTTCCTATAGTTAATATTGTGGCACAGTCATAGTCACATTTGATCCCAGCATGTTTGCCGGACCAGACCACATTTTAGGTTTTTCTTTGTACTTCTCATATACTGTATGAACCTAGAGTGACAGGTTGAGCAGCAGCAGGACGGATTACACCCTTAACTTCACTAGTTCATACACATTTCATAGCCAAATGCCCTTGTACAATCCAGTCTGGTCTCATTTCATTCTCTTCTCCAACAAGTCACATGGGGTCACATGGGTGAGGGCGGTCATATGATTTTATTATAGACACATAGGCCGAACTGTCTCTCACATACAGTTACAGTACACACACAGACCTGTTCATATACATGCTGAACACGGTAAATACCCAGTTCGCTCACTCAATTTAAACGTTTACTGGAAACGGCTTACACACAAAACTTCAGTTCAAAATAGTACAGTGACATGAAAGTTATCAATACAAAAGACACAAAATATATGACCCTTGTCTGACAGGAACTTTTTTTTTCACACAAAACAATCACACAATAGAACAATTTGATTTTTGAGCATTTATGTCACATTAAAAGGAAAATATGTTGGGTTATGTGACATGAAATTATTGGAGGTCAGTTCGCCCCCACATGGTCCTGTGCTGAGCTGCAAGCTGGATGCTGGAGGGAGGCCCAGACTTAGTCCCAGACCAAATTGGGGTCAAAACCATTTTGAACCTGAAGTAAATCAACTTTTGTAAACCTCTGAAATAAATCTGCATGAGAAATTCAAGTATATACTGTATATATAAATAATATAAGAGCCTTGGCATATTTAAAGTAGAATTGGCAGGTTGCCACAGCAATTGCCGACCAATCAGCTGTGTGTGCAGTCTATAAAGTCAGGTGGCTGTGCTCCGGTGCTCTCCTGCTGCTGAGCACGCCTCGCTTCCTGTTGCACACCTTGGACGTTGACACAGGTGAGAGCGGTTTCTGCGTCTGTTTGTTCCCGATTTTATTAATTTTCTTATGCTGTTATTTCATATTTGTCACTTACAATTTTGCAGCTCTTATCGTGGATCCCCTCCCTCCGAAGTGACCCTCAGCAAAATTGCACTGGTCTACACTTGGCCTGATATCGACAGCATGAATCAGCAGGTATGTCTGCAGCACGGACTGATAGTTCTGCACAGAGTCTGGGCCGGGAGATATGGCTGAAGTTCGGTCCAACTGTTGGCCCGAGTCCAACTATCCACAACTAAGCCTGAAGGACATCACAAATATAGACTCAGTTCATTATCAGTTCTGACGGTGAGCCAGAATGGCTTATTTTGTTAATTTCCTGCCACCCTCCCCATGCCAACCCTTACCTTAGATGCAAAATAGAATTGATCACATGAATGCTCTTTTATTAAATGACACATAATTTACACGACATGGTTACTCATATTCCCATGGACACGCAGAGAGTAAACATGCACAAGAGGTCAGAAAAACTGCAGCTGCAATTGAAACAAAACTTCAGTTGAGAGTCAAGGAATGTTAAAAGTTCATAAACCGCAGCAAAAATCCATAAAATGCAGCAGTACATTAAGGTAAAAGTTCAGCAGCTGCTGTGTATAAAGTTCAAATTACTAATAAATTATAACCTTCATAAAAACACAGTTCATCAATTTGAAAGCAACTTTGACTAAATAAAAGGCTTAAATGTCACATGTTCTCCTGTGTCCAAGGACAGTTAAGCCTGTGTTTGGAAACATGCATCACTCCGTCCTAAAGCTAGAAATCACAGAGATTCCTCACATCAGGCTGCTACACAGATTAACACAAGGGGCACTGACTTTGTTAGTACATTAAGGTAGTGCAGCGGATGTGTATTCTATTAAAATATCGATTAGATGTCATAAGTGACAAATGAAATGGTGGAGTACAGAAATTAGAAAAATCACTACTTTATCAGTCTGAAGTTATACAGCTGAAATTACTTTATTAAGCCACTGGAGGAAATAAGTTACCTTGAAATTGGATATAAAGTTTAAGATTTGAAACACTCATTGTGGTGTAGGAAATTACAAGCAAAAAAAAAAAAAAAACGAATGCTGTGACATGCCACATTTTCACAAGTTCTCCTTTTAGTTTGTGACTTCAGGGGACAGTGCTGCATGGTCGCAAACTGTTCTGAGGCGCAGGAACAAGAGATTGGAAGAAAATGTGCAATAAGGGCAACAAAAGGTGCAATATTGAGATGATAGAGTTCAAACAAAATGTGCCATTGGTTTCATGTTTGTTAGTTAGCATATTTGTCATCACAAAAGAGGTTATAAACATAGAGCTTTAAGTCAAAAAAAGTCAAAATTAATAATAATTTGTTGACCTGACAAGTGGTGGGAGTAGTTTGTAGTCTGTGTTGCCTAAATTAGGGGTCCAGGCATGATCAGAGTTTGAGATTGTTGAGATTGATTGTAAAGGTGTTGAACTGGTGTTTAAAATACTGACCTGAGTGGTAAGGGGGAGGTCTGTTTCGTATCACCACCAATAAAGTGTCATTTAAAGATCAAGTCAACCATGAAGAACCACAAACAAACATGGGGGTGATGCGGTGGAAATGGATGCATCACGGATAGCAAAGAATGAGTGGTCCTTTTGACCCTCAGTAGATCAAATAATTAATGATGAAAGCTTTTTTAGTTTGGCTGTTGCAGCTGAAGTAGCATACATCACCACGCCAGGCCTCGCTTCATTTGCTTTTATAGCCTCATCCAGCAGCATCTGTGTTTGTCAGCTGACTCCTGTGACTCATCATTTCCTCTAATGGACCCTGTCACGATTGGTCCAGATGGCCCAGATTCAAACGGACTTGGTTGCCTCCCGGTCCTAAAACCACAGCATTCCTTAGCCAATCGAGCAAAGCAAGGCTTCATGACATCACTGCCTGAGGAATGAGCTGGCATAACAGTTGTGTTGGAAAGTGACCTAGCTAACAAGGAGGGACTGGGTGGTTTATACTGCTCCTGTGAGGCTAACAACCATTAGTCAAAGGGGTCATTTAGACAGAATCAGGCATCTTGTATATTTGTATGTGTGTGTGCAATGCAGGCTTTCTTATTGTGCAAATGGGGAGGAACTTTCCATCCCCTCCGGAGTGCAGTTCAAGTGCTGCGGTTTTGATGAGTGGTTACACAATAAATTGGGTTTCTACTGAGACCATTGAAAAACATACTTGCCTGGAAGCCATAAAAGCATGTACGTGATGGGTGAAGTTGTGTAAGCCGTGCATACTTGGTCACACATAATCTTTTCTGTCTCCTTTCATGCAGACACAAGCTGTTTGCAGATCAGTGGTAGAAAGTGACTATGTACAGTACATGTACTCAAATACTGTACTCAAGAACTATTCTGAGATGCTTTTACTCCCTCAAATTTCAGATGCAAATATTGCACTTTTTCCTGCAATACATTTATTTGATAGCTATCATTTACTTATTAAGATTTTACAAAAAAAAAAGTATATATATATATATATATATATATTCTTCAAGATTATATTCTTAAAGATTAAACCATGCGGCTCCTAACCTTTTTGGCTTGTGACCCCTCACAGAAATGCAGTGTCTGGTGTTGGGTTTGGTAGAAGTTCCACCAAAGAGAGACTTCCCTCATAACTTGTCAGATGGCCTCATTTAAATAATTGTTCAAAAAGGTCAAATCATCCAATAGTTCAAATGGCAAACAGTCCAAGTGAGTAATTTGTGTGTCAGAACTTTTCTTTCTTCTTTCTTGCTACATTAATCATTAATGACGCATCCGATTGTATTTATTGCATCATCCATCAGTATTGGCAATCTAATGATGACACACAGTAATAATGCATCAGCCAGAACAAGTGCTTTTACTTTTATACTTCAAGTACATTTTTCTGCTGTACTTTAAGTAAAATGTTGAAAGCAGGACTTTCACTTGCAATGGAGTATTTTTACATTATTGTATCGATACTTTTTCAACTACTGATGCAGACACACACACACACACATACACACACACACACACACACACACACACACACACACACACACACACTTCCCCACTGAGTTTTTTCGAGAAGGTTCATACTGGAGGAGGCCCAGAGCTCATGCTGCTTGCTCAGCACTGTGTGTATAAACTGGGAAGCATTTCACAGGGGCGCTTGTCTACACACTGTTTGAAAACCTGGAAAAACCATCACTGCCTGTGAACCAAAGCAGTACTCTCCTCAGGAAGTGCCTGTGAGACCCCCGTCTCTCCATGTCCATTTTTCACAGCAAGGTGAAGTCTGTCTCAGACTGAACTATGGTGTTGAGTTTTAGTTGCGTAAAGGCCAGACTTTAGGGACTCTGAAAACTGGTAAATCTGTCATTTTTCGCTGATGGCGCTCTCTCTTCACATTTCAGTTTGTTTGCATGTTTTGTTTTGCATTAATTATGTTGAAAAGTGGGTTTTGAGAGAGGACAGCTGGAAATCTGCCTGCACAGTGTAAGAGGAATCACTTAACACTTTGTGCAAAGCCAGAGTAAAGGGGTGGGGGGATTTTTATTGAGCTCATACTGTAAGTAGGTACAGCTGGGAAGGGGAGAATAAGAAGTAGAACCTTCTCCTGATGCTATGAAATCATTTTCTTATGGCTGCCCTCCCTGTTTCCCGCCCTCATTTTCCTTTCCACTCCCCATTTCCCTCCCTGTCTTTGCCAAAATGTCTCTCAAAGCAGAGTTTATAAAATATGAATTGTCTTTGGGGGTTTTTTTAAAGTAATTTTAAGTACATATTGTAGTGAGCTATGATGACAGAGAGCACACAGAGGACAAGGTACTGGATTTCAAATGGAAAGATGGAGGGGGAAAGGGTGTGGAATAATCAGCGTATTCAGAGAATGAATGGCAGACAGTGATGTAAAGTGATATGCAGATGGTTGACATGGGAATATGAGGTGCAGGGAGGAGGCAGCATAAAGAATGAGCGTTTGGAAAGGAATCATCAAACAGTAAATTCATATAAAACAGTTTATTAACATCTTGAAAAAGGATTTAGACACAGCAATATAGCTTTAAAAAAGGAATGTGTGACATTTCTGTATATGATACATAAAAAGTACATAGCTTTGGTGTTATTGGACTGTTTCAGCAAAATCTGACCAACATCTGACTGGCTGCAAGTAGGATGAAAAAGAAGAAAACTAGGCGAGTAAATGTAAACCATGCATGAGAAACAAAACAGGAGTATTGTATGACAGTCTTGGAAAACATGTCCTCATTCCCTCTCATAAACTCTGGTGCAGACAACATCCCCGGCGGTCATTGTCTGAAAGAAAACAGCAACAAAAGGACAGTTTAAGTTTTTGGTACCCTGTTATCAAGAGGCATCCTTTATACGGGGTAAATGTTAGTTAATAAATGATGAATAATGATGAATAATAGATAATGCTTTATTAATCATTGAAATAAACATGATTTAGAATTTTAGTTGCCAGGTTGTGGAAAATCCTCCTTAAACATGACACTTTTTAATTAGCTCTTAGACTCATGAGAAAGACCCTCCAACTTGCAGATGAGTTGCTAAATTTTTTTTTTCTTTAAATTTCTTTTCCCAGAAGGTAAGTGGTCAAATGGTCAGTTGGTTTTCTGGTGAACTACAGAGCAAAAGAGAAAGCACAAGTATCATGCAGAAGAATGATAAACAGCCAGATATTTCTGGCCACACTAGCAGCATTGTTCAAGTGAAAGCAATGTTGATCAATCCACCACTTTGGTCCAGACAGAAATGTCTCAAAAACTGTTGACTGAGTTACATTGGGCCTTTGTACAGACATCCATGGACCTCAGTGGATGAATCCGACCAACTTTGGTGACTTTTTGTCTAGCGTCACCATGAGGTTGACATTTGCAGTTTTAAGCAAAATGTGACGATGCAGGATTTGTGCAATACCTCGTAGAATGGGAAAAACAGACAAAAACTACCCATTCATTTTACTTGGAAGTGTTCCTGGATAATTCCAGGATGGTTACCCCAACTGCTATCCTTGTAGTATCATTTAAGTAACCCAGTCTGCTATTTTTTGCTGTGTTACATGTTTGGAACATTTTGTGAACAAGTGACACCAGCATGCTAACATGCTGATATTAGCATTTAACATTTGCTCATAGCACTGCTGTGCTTAAATATACCTTCACAGAACTGCTCGCAGAACTGTAGACTCTTAGTCTTGTTTTTACCATCTAGTAATCTAAATGTTGTTATGTATCGCTTTTAAATAAGCGATATAAAGTATAAGTAAGAGTGGTAACTTTTGAATACTTATAAGCTCTAAGACTAGTCATTAAGTTTTAGTGTCTGCTGTACACAAATAATTACCAGTATCAGTTCTCCATCGTTGGTCAGCTCTCGGGTCCACGCCGTCTTGGGCCCATCGCCTTTCTGTAAAGCCTGTTCGCAGCTGATCTTAGTGTCTGTTTCCCACTTCGGAAGACTCTGCAGGGATTCGCAGAAGAAGAATATTAATAACTGACATAATTTAAGTGCTTTGGACACTATGAAGTTACTACGAGTGTGGGTCTCATCATATCTGGAGCTCAGTGTGCCAATAGGCGCACGTCAGAACATTTTTATGGTCTGTCCTTCACCGCTGACTCAACATATCCACGCACTATCACCAGGACTGACTCTGGAGTTGCACTGAAATTATTTCCATATGTTTCGTCTGTGCAGAATTGTGGCTAGTTGTGCTGTCCTTGGCCAAATGCTGGTATGCATGTATTGACATTATTACAAGAATGTTTGTATGGGAAGTAAAGGGGCACGTACCGTGCAGGGACGTCCATCCACTGTTGTCTCATTGAAGGACTGACCCACGGTGAAGGAGACATGGGTGGTGCGGACGCTGGTGGATGTCTTGATGGACAGACTCTCCCCCTGCTGGGTGATTTCCACTGCCGGGCTGGAGGCGGCAGTCACTGCAATCTTCCTCAGGAACACGTTCACACCTGACCACACACAAACAGAAGAAATATTAAACTGGCAGCTGTGGTGAAAGTCCCACCTGGGTTGGTTTGTGATGAGTGGAAAGAATGTACAGCTGTGAATAAAGAAGCATACCAGGGGTTTTAAATATTGTAGCCCAAACAGTGAAACTTTGACCAGCAGTATAAATGTGCAGGAGTCTTGGAGACTGAGAATGTTACATGATCACTATGTGGTAATGCAGCAACAAGCAGGGAAAGATTTTCTTTGCTTGGTGTTCAGTAAAACTATGTCATCTGATATTTGAGAGTCACCAGCCACACGGCAACTACAGCCAAATTCATTCCTCCTTTTCACAATGCCCATATTTGCTTATTATATGTCTCCTCGGTTCGGTTTTCCTTGAACAAAAGTTATGAATGCGATGCTTTTTTTGGCAGCCTACAAAAACAGACTGTGCTGCTGCATTGCCACACAATAATAACATAACTTTTTTAAACCAAAAAAGAGAAGGAAAGAAATGTTCATTTTGATTAATTTCTTCGTTTCAAGTCAGAATTTATGGTATGCTTCAGCAAACGGTTGCCAGTAATGTAGAACATATGTGATTTGCTGGATGGTTTAATGTCAGCTGGGATTGGCTCCAGACCCCCGCGACCCTCAAAGGATGAGTAGTATATCTAATGGACTGATGGATGGATGGCATGCAAAACCACTGGTATGGTCCTTTAAACCACTAATTAGTGTGTCACTGTTAAAGGCATATTGGAAAAACAACAGAGGAAAAACACATTCTTGACTATCTGAGGTGCAGAAACAAGGACCACCAAAGTTACAAAACGTGAAGTCAGTAATTATCCACTCAACTTGCTGTCAGCCAAAACTCTACTGAGGCGGGATGCTTGTTTACCCCTTTAGAGTTCATCTTTTCATTGCTGCAAAAAAAAAAATGTTGACGTTATAAATGACTTGACTTTGCAAAAGACAAAAACGGAACAATGAAAACTTAATTTGACTTAATTGAGCCGATAAACTTTAAAGCTGTTTCTGCCTGACGTGGAGGTGAAAAGAAAGCTATTGCAATTCCTTCATTGGGATGATTGATGGTGATATTTAAAGACAGCTATAGAGTATGTGATTTATGCATGAACCCCTTACCCCTTACTAAAAGAGATGTAAATATGTAGCCATTTTGCATCTCTTCATGGTTGTTTTGTGTCTTTTTTTTTTTGGTTGTAGTTTGTGTTTTGTGGTCATTTCTTTGTGGTAATTTTTTGGTCACACTGGGTCTCTGTGGTCATTTTGTAGTAGTTTTACATCTTTGTAGTCATTCTGCCTCTATTTGTACTTGTTTTGCATCGCTTTGTGGTCGTTTTGTGTGTCTTTGTGGTATTTTTGAGTATCTCTGTGGTCATTTTGTAACAATTTTGTGTGTCTTTATTGTATCTTTGCCTCTTGTTGTTGCCATTTTGCATCTCTTTGAGGTTGTTTTTTAAAAAAAATCTTTTTTGTCTCTGTAGGCGATTGATTGACTTTCCAACAAGAAATGTTAAGTCACTTCAAACAGAGGTTCTGGCCCTGGGGCTCCCTGACCCCTTGGGCCCTTGGGCCTGTGCCGGTAGGCTCTTGGGCCCAAGGGGTTAGGGGGTCCCCATGCAGGGCCCATGGGCCTACCTATAATTCATCTATGGATTTATGCAGCAAGAGAAAAAATATAAGATGATTTTTAACAGAGAGGTATAACCTGTAGGAAAAAAAATAGTGATGTGCAAAGTACAACTTGGTTGAAACTCAGAAATAGCTTATATCAACATCTATGTCTGGCGTCAGTAGAGATGTGAGGTGATGTTTAATAAATGTAAAACAAATGTAACCTGCCTGTGATTATTTATGTGCGCTGGACTGGCCTCAGAGGGATCAGGACGATCTGACAAATCTGATTCAGGTTCAGACCATATTTGCTCATGCAGTGGTACTAACAGAGGCAACACACACACACACACACACAGCGATAGATTGGGTCAGGGAGGCCCAGGGCAGTGAAGGAAAGTCGTTCTCAGAGCCGACTGGCTGCTGGGGCCCATGTCAAGGCTTAGTTCCGTTTACACTGGCTCTAATTACAACCGCATGAGGAGGACCCTGCTTCAGATGAGTCTAATCTAACATTCCTCCACAGGCTATTTGTCTTCAGATTTTTAATGGATGCCACTGGCTGGCCCTTGTCTGACCTCTCTCTCCTGTTCTCCCCAAAGAGGACTTATAACTGGAACCTGTTCAGCCTCGTGTACCTTAACAAGACACATTCTCAGGAACATAGGTAAGCAGGGCAGGAGCAAACCAATTTAACCACAGAGAGTCACTTCAGACCACTTCGGTTCTCCAGTTGACCTCTAATCCAAGTGGATTTCCAGCTGATTATGCCACTGACAAAATGATTGACGGGTCTTTGCAAGGGAGATGCATCCCTTTCCTTCCTTTATCTTTTTTTTTTTTTTTGCACTTTAACAATGCACTTAAATGGTTGATGATAAACCAGATAAACAATATGCAGCTTGACAATAAACTTGCATCAAAGTTTGAGAAGTTTTTCATGTAAAGCATTTTGGAAAAAGTGGAGTGCAGCCTCATCTTGTGTTAGAAACGGTTTCAGGTCAGAGCGACAGCTTTATTGAGCACTTTCAGCAAGCAAAGTAAAAGGAGGCCTATAGTCTATTTATACGTTTAGGCTACATAAATTACTCACCCAGCACTTTCAAAAGTTCCTCGAAATTTTCCGAAGACTTCATTTTCCATTTTCCTGAGAAATCTGTGACTTTCTTCTCCATTTCAATACAAGCAGCTGCAGAAATGATTTTAGCAGATAAGAAGTCGACTCTGACCGCAGACTCTCCGGTAGATGTCTGTCCCTCCCGTTACCCCAGTTTGTAAAGCCGCCTCCTCTGCCTGCATCTGTGCCTCCATTCATTGGCTGACAGCTCGCCTAGGATCTGATGCTGAAACAGCCAATACAGAGGCCGGTGGCAGGGAGGGACTTTCCCCCTGACTCCTTCTGTACCCTCCACCTCTGTCAGCATGGTGAAAGATTTGGATACGAGCTGGAAAATGCACTTCCAGTAAGTCCTTTGATGTTGATGAGTAGCCGGCTCCGATAATAAGGAAAGGTGTTAATTGTTTTATAGGCTGGTGCAATGTTAGTCCCAGTTATTTGACAAGAAGTCGAGAAAATAACAAAGTGAGTAAAGTAAGCAATGAAATACAAAAAATAAAAAAAATAAAAAAGCTGATATTTATATATATGTATATATTTTTTTTAAAAACAGTCTAACTGAAATCATGTGTTAAGTTTTCTGAGATATGGAATGTGCAATCAGATATCAGGGTTAATGTGTGTAGCTCCAGAGTGGGGGGTGGGAAAGCTGGTAATGAAAGGGCAGAAGATAAGACATCCAGCTGGAGGCATCCATCCAGGAAAGTGCCATCAGCATTTTCACTCCACAGTTCAAATTTAAGAGAGAGGAAATACAAAGCCAGTTTAATCAAACAGCACAATAGGGTATCACTTTCATTTCCCAACGCTGACTCATGTGGCCATCTCATCCTGTCTTTATCTGAACTGGACAGTGGCAGGTTACATGTCATTAGGGCTCCATGAGATGTTTGGAAACAAACAGAAACATAAGACACTGTTTACCTTCTCAGTCAGGCACTCTGAATCACTGTTCACTTTACATGTGAACTCTGTGTCTGTAATTTATGCACAAATATATTCTGCTAAAGCTGAAATTATTCAATTTTAATATTCCTGAAACATGAATTGAATATATTTTACATTGTAATGTCAATAATGATCTTACATAATTATTATTATTATATTTACATGAACAATGTGTAACATATGTTTGTAATGTGTTACTGTACGAACTGAAACTGAATTATTTGAATTTGAACTGAGCTGGATCAGAATTGCTGGCATTGTTAAAGAAGTGACTGATACAACAACCAAAGTGAGTCTTTTTTTTACTTTCAAAATCAAGTTTGCCTAATTGGGACCAAAAAAAAGAAAAATTAAGGTGTAAAAAATAAAAGATATACACACTTTCAGTAAAGATGGAAGATCTTACTGGAAAAAATTGGGAAACCATATTGGATAAAACACAACACATTTAATGACAGAGGTTAAGATTCAGATTTGTCAAATTAGTGACATTGTCCCTCATGGCAAAGATCAACATTAAATCCCCATGGGAAGTACAATACGTTAATTTATTTGGTAAACATACATGCAGAGTCCACAAAAGTAAAAGTAGAATGAGTTACAAAAGCTAACACTAAATTAGAATAATACATTGCAGTGACAATAGACAACCTTTTTCTTTTAACTTATTATGAAGTAAATGTTGATTTTGGCTATAGAATAATGACACCATCTACGTTTGGATTGGTTTTGTCAATTTTGTCACATCAGGGATGATAATTTTGTCAAAACCGACATTCAGTTAGCAATATTTCTACTATATCAGAATGTCACAAACACTAGCTAGGCTGATAGCAGTAGCCATGTTGCTAGCACTACCGCCATTGGAAACGAACAATTCATTGTCCATTTGATAAACAAAATACCCTAAATAACATGTTTCCTGGCAGTGACCTTTCTAGAATGAGCAGTAGTGAAATGTACTATTATAATGTGAGCAACACATTAGCTTCAGGCAGCTAACAGAATGGCAAATTTGGTTAGCACTAATCATGTAGGAAAAACTGATTTAATATTTCAAATGAACAACAGTGACAAATTACCATAAGAAGAGAGTAGCTATAGGTAATTGCATGTATGGCAATGGCAATTAGAGAGTGGATAAAAGGTTCTATCAACCAAATGTAAAAATGTCAATTATTCTTCAGTTGGAACACTGTCAGTAGCGGTTGCTATAGCAACAGAATGTTCAGTTGAAACTGGAATAGTGAAGTCTTTATTTAATTTTTTTCAAATATATTAAACAAACTCATGCTTGCCTAAGTAATATGATTGACTTGAGTTAAAGTTGAATACTAAATGAATAATAGTTTTTGAATACATTTTACCTCAAGTATTGTCAGTGAGATGTAGCGTATTTGATCATAACACCCCAAGTAAAATAAAACCCCTCAATACATACCTTTTTTTATGTTATACTCTGTTCTCTCTTTCTCACACTCTTTCACACACATGCCCACTCACTGCCAAGAATATGTCATCAGGTCTGGATCAGAGGGGATGCCTCTGGAAACATGATGCAGTGCATTCATGCATCATGATGTTATCTGTGCAAGTTGTCTCAGCATTCCTGTCTGTGGCACCATGCAGACACAGTACCCTATCGAGTTACAGTAACATGGGAATTAGCCTTGTATTTTATGTTGAGAAAGGACATAATAAAATCACTTTTAATTGCACATTAGAAATTACTATCCAGGCCACCATTCACCGCTGGCTGACCTCAGCAGCTCAGGGATGAGAAGAGGAAGAGGAGAATGGCCCCGATGAAAGGATAACACTGGACACCACTGTCTCTGTCCCTGTCCCCATGACCACAGATGTAGTTCCTTCATAATTCCCTTTATGTAAACTATGATAGCTTCGGTTTGGTTCTCTGTGCTAAAGAGACCAGGGTGTTTGTTGGTCTTTCTTTTCTTTCAATCATTCATTCACATGCAGTAGACAAAATTCACTCTGCTGCATGACAATGACCCCAAACATACAACCAGTCATTAAGAACTATCTTCAATGCAAGAGATGGTATGGACCCCATAGAGTCAATCTCATCATCATGGTGTTAGTCTGGGATTACATGAAGAGATAGATGCTTTCAAAAGCATCCTAACTTTACTTGTAGTTCCTAAAACCTTTGCACAGCACATTTGCTGTGGCCTGGGATACAAGCTGTGAGGTTTAAGCATTTGAAAAGGAAATTAAGTGAATAATTAACTTATTTTCCTCACACGCACACACTCTATCAATAACATGCTAAGAATTCATTGAAAATTAAAATGAATTAGATAAAATAAAAATGACAGAGAGCATAGAGTATTATTGTTTTTATCCCACAGCACAACTTTAAATAGAAGTGAAAATTTACTTGAAATATTACAACACGAATCTTTGTGTAATTCCTTCTAAAAAAAAATAATATACAGCCAACCACAGGACAGGACCATTGTAACTCACGAGAAAGGTTGAGTGAAGCGTCACCTAGCGTTGTTTTATGCAGGGTTTCTTGTACACGGAACCTTTTACAAGTTGGTGTTTCCAGACGGCCGTCGCTTGAGCAAGCACCGATCTCATCATGTCAAGGCACCTTCGCTTCGTTGCTCGGACTGTGATGGTTGAAAACGGCAACGTTGATGCCGCATACACGGCTTTAAACAGGTAAACGTTGTGTTTTTAAGATAAGGCATGAGATAAAATGTGTTGTTAGCCGGGGGATGACAAGCTAACATTAGCTAAATTAACATTAGCCTTCCGCTCAATGTCACAGAGCTGCGGCTGCGCTGTGGTGTCGCTGCTTATGTATAAGATGGCTCAACGTGAATGTCTGTGTTTTTAGGGGTATAGATATATGTGTACGTGGATAAAATAATGTGAACATAACATTAAAGTCTGCAGCAGCATAAGTACTGTTGCTAACACTGTTGGGATATTTGGTCGCACTAGCAGCAGTTGAATAATGAATAATGTGAACCTGAATTGCATATTCAAAAATCTAAAGGGGAACATGAGAAACTCCATCGTATGTAAATATCATCCAGTCTAATGTGATTGTATTGTTAAAATTGGTTATTTCAGACTTTCTTTGCTTAGGAGGTAATGGGGTTTCTTTGTTGACTAATACAAGGTTCCTGACTAACTTTTTTTAATTAGTTGCACTGCTGCTCCTGCTGCGGACCCAAACAGCAGTGTTCCATTTTATTATCATTTCTGACTAGAACCCTCCATCAGCAGGTGGTTGATCAACACAGTCACTTGTCCCCACAAAGCGTGCACTCAATCTGGCAGAAAAGAAAAACAATTACATTCATGGCAGATCCATAACTAAGAAAATGATCATCTGCAAGTGCTCCAAACTTGCCTTTCCCATTGCATGTGGGTGTCATGGTGAACATGGTGAAATCATGTCTGCCATCTTTAACAAGAAAAAAGTTGAGGATACATGGAAACTTAACAAATCCAGTAATGTGTTTATCTAAAAGTATGCTCACTTATTTTACACACAATAACGTCACATGAGGTTCCACCTTTTGATGTGGGTGAGTGATACACTCACATGACCAGACACATGACTTGTGTTTGGTATGTGCATTGTTATGGCCACAGTGTACACTTCTTAGCAAACAACAAAAGCAGTTTTCTTTAATAACACCTGAGTTTTGCTTTGTCATGCTAAAACCCATACCCTAAGGCAATCGTTTGTTTATGAGGCCTATTATTAAGTAGGCAGTGTTTGCCTGTGTTGTGATTATCACCAGGTAACGTGAATGTTTCCTGCATCATTTACAGCTGTTAAATAGCTGAAGGCGTTAGTAAGATTTTTGTGGATAAAGCAGGGCATTTGTCGAACAAAAGCACTGTTCCCAGCCATGCTTTGGCCGCACTCTTTGCAATAAATGCAGCACACAATGTTGGCTGTTTTGTCATACCTGAGGCACGGAAATCGGACAAGCCATCCTTTGTGAAAGCCACATATTTTAGCCTTTTGGATGTTGTTGTAGGTTCTGGTTTTGGCTTGGATGAGACCACCTTTGCCGAAGACGTATCGGTATTAGGCCCAAAATTATTTTCCACGATAGAAACATTAAAAACGTTCGATAAATGTACGATATAATTCATTTCCATGCTTATAACAAGCCCACATATGAATCACGAACGGCCAATCATGTCGCAGGAATAGAGGTCTGCATTGCGCAAGTTAGGATGCACTGTGAGAGGCGTCAATGCAGGCCAGCACGTGATATTATTTACAAACGCACGCAGTGGCTGACGGGCTTGAAGTTGGAGCGGAGTAAGCAAATAAGGCGAAATGAGAGACACCGCAGAAAAAGCAGAACGCAGCTCGAAGGAGGAAGATATCGTTGACAAGAGAGGCCACTCCACTTCAGTAGTTTGGTGATATTTTGGCTATTTACAGTCGGACAAAAAAACAGCAATCTGCACTGGAAACTGTGCCGGAGACACGTTCCGTTAAAGACAACAACACCACAAACCTGATCCATCATTTGAAACAATATCACCCGTTAGAACACACAGAAAGTACATACAGGCCCAAACGAGTAGTAGTGGACCCTCGACGAGCGCCAGGTGCAAAGCTTCTTTGTCTATTTAGTTATTTAAATATTTATTTTGCAGTCTGAGCAAATGTCACGTGTGTGCAGTTCCACACTGCAGAATTTAATTTTCTGTTTACTTTGTTGAGTAAAAAGGAATGAAAAAGATTTAGATTTTAATCATGCATATTTTATCATATTTTTAATGTTTGCACCTCAGAGTTTTTAAATGTTCTGCTGTTTGGCAAGTGTTTGTCATGTTCTGACTAAATAGAACAGTTCAAAACCACAGTTGACTTTCTGGTTTCTTCAACTTTCACTCAGGAGCAAAAATCAGCCTTAAAACATGAAAGAAATAACGATGTGGCATTTAAAGTGATAAATATCGATTTTGACTGATATAGAAATTTTTATTGTGATAACAGTTTTGGCCATATCGCCCAGCCCTATGTGTAACATAATGTGTTGTTAAGAAAAGTTGTAAACCTCATGATTTAACTAAAGAAATACTTGATAAATGTGATAATCAGTGGTTTAAAACATACTTTCAAGTATACAAGAATTTAAATGTTTGATTGGATCTTTAAATTGTATCTGTCATGAAATGGATGTATGGTATCAGGGTGTATATAAAAAGGTTAAAACATTTTTATTTAAATGCCTTTTTGAAAGTTTGTCTAATTCCAGTGTCTGTAAATATATTAATTAAATCAGTTAGGCTATCAATGGTTATAGTCAGCTCCATTTTAAATGTTAATTAAAGTTTGGGAATGTCTCTGATTTATAAAACTAGAAATAATTTATCCTATCAAGAATACATTGGTTGAGAAGAAATGCTCACTTGTGCTGCTACTTCCTTTTTACCTGTTGAATGTGGTGTTTTGCAACACAAGTCCCAGCTATTCACACATTCTTTCTACATACTCCAGGTTCCTAACTCAGGAGGGGATTATTGAAGTCGTGAAGCGCAAGCGCTACTTCGAGAAGCCCTGTCGAGAGCGACAGCGGAAGAACTTTGAGAATTGTAGGCGGATCTACCACATGGAAATGGCCAGGAAAATTGCCTTTATCTCCAAGACAAGCAGAGAGGATCCCTGGCTTGGCTGCTAGGAAAATGGAGTGTCATGAAACAGGACGTTATCGATGGACTGGTTGAGACGGAGCCAGCAAAGTGGAGGAAGCAAACAATATCAACACAATGTCACTGACACATCCAAATGAACTTTGGAAATACAGAAAATAACAGCTTTCGTGACGTCATATTGTTTAACGGTAAAAGAAAAGACCATGTTTGAAGATGTGGATTGATTTGCAGGTCAACACTTAGTGCTGTTTTCCCCTTTTTTCCCTCTTAAATTCTGATGCAGGCCTTACATTAGGACAGAAAGATCCTTGTACTTGTGAGTGGTTGTAATGAGCAGGTTAATGAAGGCTTGGTTGATTTTGTGTTTTGAATCCTCTCACACAGTCTTGCTGATTAAAAAGCTAATAAATATGACATTTTCCTAAAATTTTGTGTCGGTGAAAAAGTATTAGTAATCACAGTTAAACTTATATTTAAACAAAAAAGACTAAGTGGTATATTCTGTAAACAGATGTGTGTAGGGCACAGTATAAAGTGTTACCTTGCCTCCTTAAAAGCTTTGGAAGTAGTTTGACGTGATCTCATTTGCTGGAGGAAATTCAAACAATACAGGAGCTGTTTTTTGTGTGGAAGGAGTCTCCGCTCAGCAGCAGCCTGCTGTAAATTAATTTAAGGTCACTACTGCACAGTGTGGTATAGATGACCACTGATGTCAGCAAACTCCCACAAGTGAGACACATCAGCCATGCACATCTGTCAGAACCAAGCTTTCACCACAGGGGTTCTTAATGTGTGCACTTGCTCTCGCCTCCCTCACACAGGGAAACGTAAACATTTGCAGCAGGCTCACTTGTCTTTGAGGTTCCCAGGTCATGTTGATTCCTAAGTCCTGTGGCTTCGGTCAGTGGGTGGCATTGTAAAGACTGAGGGAGATTACCTATAATTTACACTCAGAGCGATTGACTGCTGTCTCTGATACCGCTTTAAAGGCCCATTACTGCCTCCAGTATAAGATAATCCCCAAGAAAGCTGCTGACTGTTCTGTGAATTTTTCAAAGATACAGGGATGATGATGATGATGATGATGTTGAATTTTTTCAATGTAATTCTTCTACGACTAAATTTCCTTTCACCTATCTGCATGGCTACGTAACACTAGAGAGAGGTAAAAAATGTTCTCTGACCCTTTTGAAGAACTGAACAGCTTATCATATTTGAAATATATAAGTGGCAAGTAATCCGATAGTTCAAGCTGTCTGTTGCTATTAGTATGATTTATCATCTTTATGTAGGTTTTTACAAGAAAAGGGAGAACATAAGGTTTCTCAGGTTCAGTCTGGCTCAGTTGCATTGTAAAGGTCAAGTCAACTTTATTGTCATTCATATGCATACACTGTATACGGCTGAACAAAATGTCATTCCTCACAGACCAAAGTGCTAAAAACAGTGCAACTTTACATACAACATACAAACAAAACAATACTACGAAGGCGGGTGTGTCGCATAAGACTACTGCCATTTAAGATGCTGTGTGTACCTGAATGTAAGCAGTAAAAAGTACCCATGATTGACACAAGAAAAAAATACTAAGTAGCTTATAAACGGTAGAAGAAGAATAACACATTCTTAATGTAGTTCTCAATATGGTTACTGCATGTAGTTAATAGATAATAGCCTATATAGATAATGCGTTGTCACTGTGCCACTCTTAACTGTAAAAGACTGTAAGAGTATATGGATGAGAGCAGAAGTATATATTATTTACATAATATTAAGATAGCATATGTTATAATAGTATAGTGATGTAATAATAGCATGATAGTATAATCATTTTACCATGAGGGAAAATACAGTATATAATTGTCTGTGTAACATAGGTTGTTCATTCAGTGCTGGTGTTCGGTGACTGTGAAATGTGCAAATGTTTTTGCTGGCCCCATCCCAATGTTCACACCTGCACAGTGCCACCTGACAAATGTCAACTTATCACTGACAAATATCAACAGCAGAGTGAGCAAAATTTCAAACATATCACTACTTAGATATTCATTTATTTGGCCACCACTTGTCACACTAAAAGCCTGGGCACACCTTTGCTCTCAGCAACTCTATAGGCTCTTTGGAGCTTCATCATTCAACTTTAATTCAATCAGTTTGTGATAATGACAATGAATATTAATTCCGACTGAAACAGACTCATCCACACCCTGAACTTTTTGGCTCCTGTCATGCATTCACTGACACTCCTTTTTCCGTTCATTCTGCCATACCTCCAACACGTGTAACACACTATTCTTAAAATAATAGTGGTTACAATCATAGTCATCTACTTTTGGACAGGAAGAAGCTTTTTTTCAAGCTATTACCTCATGCTCCTGCAGGTAACAGCATCCTATTTTTGCATGTGATAAAAGAAGTGATTCACTCTTACAGCATATAGCAATCTCATTATGTAACAATGTAAGACATGCATTCTAAGCTTGGTGTCTCTGGCTCTAATAGGCCTATGATGCCATGTCTCATAAGCCTGTCTGTCTTATCTACATTTACTTCGGCATGAGCAAGAAAGAAACTGGAGCTTTTGGAGTACAAAAACAAACAAAATTGTTCCCGTCAGTGTTTTATTTATTAATTTTAAGTTATATTATTCCTTGATTTTCTGATGGCAAAGCTGTGCTCTTTTACTCTACACGGACACATAAGACATTTATGTCTTGCAGATGCTTGGTTGGATCTAAAACACATCATGGGAAATCAGACAACTAGATGCACATAGCCACACTGAGCAAATGGATAAAGATATGACATTTCTGATGAGTTCTCCCTCTCTCTGACTGGTACACTGATCATTTGTAGGCATAAACAAATGCAATGGAAGTGCACAGTTTTTAACTGAGCAAGTTTTTACAGAAATGCTGATTATGTGCATGCCATTTCATTTGCATTTGTTTGCATGTCATTGTCTTGTCAAAAATCATTTAAAAAAAAAACAGAGTACATGCTATGTTTTTTACCTGCCGTGAAGCCCTTGTCGGCAGTTGTGGTGCTAAGTTAAGTCAAGTTGTTTTCTCACAGATTCATTACCAACAGGGCAAAGTGGACAACTGACCAGGGACCCCAGGTTTACTCCTGAATATCCTCATATCATTTGGATCTACATACTTTGAGCAACTGTAGATTAGTTATTTGCCCCATGTAAGTACAATATCAACTATGACAGGTCCTTCAGCCTTTTTCCTTTGGCTTATATAGGGACTCTGTGTTAATTTTTAGTTTTAAGACATTCAGTGTTTTAGTTAATATTGATCTTGTTTGTTTTAAAGTTGTGTTTTATCAAATTGTTTTTTTTTTCCTTTTTGAGTGTGTCAAGTAATTAACACACAAAACTAAGGTAGTGCTGTAAAACTGCAAGCATGATCTTTATTATCAATACATTTTTTCGGATAAATAAAAGTTATTTTCTTTAATAATCAACTTTTGTACGATTAAAAAAAATCTGTATTAAATGTCAAAAAAAGGGAAAAAAAATCCAAAAAATCCAACATATTCTAAACTTTTGACTGACCAGCTATCAAAAATACAAACATGTTGAGTATACCGTCATATAAAAGGAGCAAATATTCACATTTGAAAAGCTGGTACCAGTTATATTTTTTAACTGATTATTCACTTATCAAAGTTGTTTCTGAGTTTCCAGAGGAAATAATTAAACTGCCATGTATTGTGGGGGTCAGTGGGGGCCACACCAAATCGTTGCCCTGGGGCCATTTAGGAGATTAATCCAGCCATGGAAGGTAGTAGGATCTCTTTTTGTACAGATAATGATATTTCAGACTAATGTAGCTGTTTTATACTTTGTGTGACAGACCTAAATCTTGCCTCTGTTCAACTTTCATGAACCTTTTTCCTATATTGTATCTGTATGCTCAGATACCCTATCTACCCTGCTCTCTCTAGGTGTGTCTTTTTTTAGAGAAAGCGGGGTCAGTAACGGTAAGCAAAAACAAAAAACATGACCACCAGGAAAAGGGTCTAGGAAACAAATTTCAACAGCCTGGCTTGTAATGACGCTATTATTTCCATATATATGATAAAGTAACTGTTGCAGTACGTCTGTTAAACCAGGTCTCATTTGCATCCCAAAATTTTAAACAGATGTCAGCTGCCGCGTGCTGTTCCCCTCGTTTTCCAGCCACACCACCAACACGTGCTGCCTTTGAGAGTGCTGTGGGACCTACGCATTTACCAGCCAACGGACGTTGTGAACGCTGCTGATTGGCCAAACCTCTGAGCCAATGAGGCAAGATCGAACCGGTGTTCAGCCAATCGCGGATATGTGCCTGTTCAGCACGTGTAGCGACCGTTGCTCTTCGTGGGTACTTTTAATGCAGGTTGGAAATCTGACAAAGTCAACGAAACACGGGCAGAGATGCAAGCGACAGGGAGGGTCGGAGCGTAACTGGATAACAAACGTAGTCGCTGTGTGCTCACACATATGCCAACACAGATAGATATTCGCTTGGTTGAAGTTGCTTCTGTAAGGCTTGAAATTGTTCAACTTGTTCAAGAAGCGTTGACGTGCCTTCTCAAGCGTTGCTCTTTTGTTTTTCTGTCTTTATGAATCCAGCTCCACTCCGCTTGAAGGTAAGAACTCTCTCTGACATTTCTCTGTTTTGGGGTAGTGTTGGCTATTTTTCACACTCGACGTTTAAATTGTTTAGCATCAAATCATGTCTTATTAGCCACTTCTTTTCATAACTTTTAGTATTCATTTCCTGCAGGTTATGTGCAACCGTCTTGCAACCAGTTTTAAATATATTTGCTGTTTTTCCACAATATATGTATCTAACAAGTTAGACGATTTAGACTTATCTTCACTTAATATATTTATAAACTGCCCTTAGATGACCCAACTAATTTCTGTTGGAGCACACACACACACACACACACACACACACACACACACACACACACACACACACACACACACACGCACACGCGTTGATTTGTATAGTCATATAGGCGCAGGTAGTTGTGGCTGTCTTTCAGTGTCATAACCTATCAATGTTGACCATCTGCCTTGTCCTCATATCGATTATTTTGTACTTGCTGAGACTGAATGTGGACATTACTGGCAGCTCTTGGCAACAAATACACTTCTCATTTGTCTTTTGCCTGGTTCTGACAAAAGGCTTGTGTTTGGGTTCTTTTGCTAAATATTGAGATTCTGATATAAATAACTCCAGGTCTGTAGACACACATAACTATGTAGTAAAGCGTTGGTTGACATATAGTTATATAAGTATTGTGGTATGAGAACACTATTTTTGGACTAAAATAGCTAGTACTTTACTTATCTTTAAAGCATGCATTGTACAATTAAGTATAGAACTAAGTAATATGCAAAATGAATGTCTCTGTTTATTTCATATGCATATTTATATTGATCTTCAACTATTATTTATGTCAGTATCTACTACTTCTTAAAGTAACAACAGCCATCTCCAAAAGCAGCAGTACTGAAATATTTGCACAGAAGTATTGTGACCTTTCATTTGGCCAGTATTACATTGCGCTAAATGTAGGAAATATTTTAAAGAAAAATCACCTTGGGGATGGAAATTTTGATATTAATGCTTTGATTTGCACAATTGGAAGACACACAGACAACACTTGTCCTGTTGTATGTAGTAGATAGATAGATGACTTCATTTATCCCCTAGGGGAAATTCATGTATAATGATAATGTACTGTATGTGCAACTATATGTCCTTTTAACTTCTAATACTGTAGACCTACCTGCTTGTACCTGTTAAAAAACCTGGGTCTCCCCATCAGTCAGTCAGAACTGAAGACTCTTCTTGGATGAGAGGTGAAATGTCTTCAGGTATCCACAACCAAGTTGCCCTCGATTGAACTTTTCTTGGATGACCATTACCTGGATGACCGAGAATCCTCATAGACATTCTACTTGTTTGATTTTGCCCAATGCCAAAATCTGTATCTACTGAACTTCTGTTTGGAGATGATTACTTTGCTGCATAATATCCACCTACTAGCTCTATTCAAATCTCCTCTTTTTCTCTACTCTTATCTTCCTGTCTCCACAGATGAATTCATTAGGAAGTTCTTCCAAATGGCCATCTTATGACTCGCTACCCTCCACCTCGAGCTTTGTTCTCAGTGAGAGTGACCAGACTGAGGATGAAACGGACTTCTTCTCAGAGGGAGAGGGAGACAGTGGAAGAAGAAAGTCCCTGTCAGTTGACGAAGGAATCACATTCTCTGAAAACTATCTTGATTTTCCAGCTCATTCAGATCAGCTGAATTTGAGGTCTAAGAGCGACCAGTCTAAACACTGCCCTGATGAAATTAAGCATCCCAACACTGCCTCTTCTCCTGGAGCTGCCACATTTGTATCATCATCAGCGACACCAGGGGACCTGGCCTTTGCACAGAAAGTGAGAACCCTTAAACTAATTCCTAGCTTGTTGTTTTAGTATTTTTGTCAGCGAAATAGCAGATGAGTCATAGTTGTAAAGCTTGATTTTCTCTTTATTTTCTCAGTGTGCAGATTTGCACAGGTTTATCCGTCCTTTGCTTGAGCTTCTACATGGACTAAAGACAGGGCGATTTGACAAAGGTATGTAGCAGAGCAAAATCAAACATGATTATTATCTCTTTTCAAAGCAGCCAGCCTTTAATTAACCCCCTAACTGACTACTTGCCTATATGTTTAAATGGTTTAACAGGTTTAACTAGTTTCCAGCAGAGCGTTGCCATCGATAGATTGCAGAGGATTCTTGGAATTCTACAGAAGCCTGAAATGGGGTAAGACCATAACAAATGGCAAGCCTAATATTCTGAAAGAAGTGAATTGTCATTGTTATCCATACCCAGGATTGTCATTAATGCTTGTTCCTTGACACTTTTTCTGCAGTGAGAAATACCTTCAAAATCTGCTGCAGATAGAGATGATGCTAAAAATGTGGTTCCCTCAGGTGGCATTTCAGTCCATAGATACACCAAAACAAACCATCACTCCCCAACTTCGACCACACTGGTGCCAAAGTCAACTCCACATGCCAGTTAAGGTGAGCGTCATATTGATGTTACCTTTGTTACCATATGAGAATGACTTTACAAGTGCGCATTAATCAAACCATGGGCCACATGACCCAGAGAAGTTAAAATAACAATACTAAACCTTTTTTTTTTATTATTATTAAAATAGTGCTTTTTTTTTTATAATCAGACAATCAGACACAAGAAAACAAAAACAATGTTACAGTAAAATATTAGGAGGAACTACAAAAAACATGTTTATTAGAGTGCTGAAGATATAACCTCCCCAGGCTTGCTGTGTCTTTGATAGCTGTGTCTGTTAAAAAAAAAAAAAAAAAAACTATAGTTAATTACAACTTGGGTTTTCTTTCATATCTCAAAGAACTCAGCTCAGCTTGAATTGTAATAAACTGTAGTTTTCCTTTAAGACCTTGTTTTGTTACCGTTGCTTATGGTCTTACTTTCCTATTCCAGAAGAGAAAACTGAGCTGGTCAAATCCTCACCATGCTGGCAATGTCCCAACCAAGCATAAGCACCGTCAACAAGAAAAACATGGGAGCTGCCATGATTCAACTTCATTTGAGAGTGTTTCCACACGTCTATCTGGATCACCTAAAAAAATGAGAACTCCAGAGGAAGAAACAGTTGGTCCAGCTGGGTGCAGCTGTAAAACTGGACGTGAGTTTACAGACAGCACTGGCACTTTAAGCAGTCCGACATATTTATGTAGCAAGAGACAAAAGCAGGCTGAGATTTCCCCGCCCTCCCCTCATGGAAGCCCAGCTACACAAGACAGTTCAGTGTCCTCCAGCGAGACCGTTACTACAAATGACTCACCTTAGCTGGCCTTAGATGACCTTGCTACCACATGGAGGTGACACAGCATGCCAGCCAGAGTGAAGGCAGAGGGCAGACTTGATTACATAAGCATAAAGTTAGGTGCAGAGCCAGTCTGTGATGGCTTCAAGCCACTTTAGACCAGAAGAGGAGGAGGAGAAATCCAGATAGACTCTCTTTTACCCCTAACTATCCAATGTCTTTTTGATAACACCAGAGTTATTGCACTATACTACAAGGAATTATATATTGTTTGTCTGTAAGAGTATGACTGTTGTCTACATTGACTTTTACTAAGTTAAAAGATGTTGAAAATCCTTTCAAGTGTGATGTGTTAAAGCGGTCTGTGCTCTATTTTGTATTTTTTCATACCATGGAACGCAGCGCTAAGTATAAGATTTCATACCATTCGTGAAAAACAGCAATAGCAGATATCACTTTCACTTTCACTCAAGTGAGCAAACACAGACCGCTGGTACAGTTTTAAACTGAAACAATTAGTCAGTTGTCTTTAAATTAATTTTTATAAAACAAAAATGAATTTACTTGTTTCAGCTTCTTATATCTGATGATTTTTTTTTTCTCTTTTCTCTCTTTGTCACATATGATAGTAAACTGACTGACTGAATCGGTTTTACTTGTTATAAGCATGTTTCACTATTTTGTTATATTTTACAGACCAAACAATGAAAAGACGAATGGAGAAAATAATTGGCAGCTTAATTTTTAGTGGAAATAATTGTTAGTTGCAGCCCTAGTGCAGTTAGACATGTATTTCCATCATGAACACTGTTGATTAAAACATTAAAACATTTAAAACACAGGCATTTGAGAACGTTAAAATAGCTTTTGCCAGCTGCTTGATTTTAATGTATAGTAAATGCTTGTAGCTACCGCCCAAATCTGCCAAACATAACCATTCTGCATTATCATATCAAACACACCTTACTTCACAGTCACTACTTCTTAATATAGTTAACACACACATCCCTTTGTTTCTGTGTAGATAAGAAAAGGTGTAGTGGCACTTGTGGTAAAACAATAAAGTGCTGCACAGAAAATACTACTCCACCTGTGTTTGGTGAGGAAATGGAAGATGCTTAGCTGGATATCATTGTGTCAGTTGCTGGTTAAGGTAGCGAGTGAGTGAATTTGTTTTGATTAGAAAGACTTGAATATGTAATATTTTATTAGACATGTGACTTTTGAGTGACTTTTTTATAGAAGCATAAACAGGCATAATATATTTGGTCCTGTTTGAGTTAGAATTTATGCAGCTGCACTTTGGATGACAATAAGGAAACGTCAGAACTGTTGACATCAGAAGAGTTTCCATCGGCAGACTTGTGTAGCTAGTCGTGTGTTACACCTGAAATGCGTGCTTTACAAGTGCTTGAGTGAGAGACTTTGGAGGAATATTTCTAATTTCTTTGTTTTTTATTTGTACTCCTTTCATTTTGGCACTGTGGAGTTGAAAGGCTTAAAAAGTAAATTTATTTTATTGTTAACACAAAATGCCCCAAATGCAGTGTGTCATTATGTGGGCAAAGAACAGCTTCTGTGATTTGGATTTGTATCACTGACTTGCTGTTGTAAAATTTGTATCACTCAAAGTGCTTTACTATTGATTATGGAACAATTAATAATATCTTTGAGATATCGTAAACAAAACTCCATTCCTGAACACATCACTTATTTTTGATGGCATTTGGGTATTGTTCCACCATATTTTAAATCAGATATCATTCATGTTGAATGGCATTTCATCTCTGGTAGTTTGTCACCAGTCAGCCTTAAAAGTAATGATAAACTTACCTAGAATCACATCAGCAATCGTACAAAAAATTTATTATTTGATTAACAATAGCAAAATAATCATCTCACCACTTATGTCATTGCAAACCAAATGTGCTGCTGTGTAGATATCCTGCAGGCTTCACCATTAGTAATTTTTATTGGCCTGGGGTTAAGTCATTTAAAATCAAGATTGTAAGCATGTGGTAGAGAGCAAAGGTATAGTGTAGTATTGCATTATATAGCATCCTCTAGTACAGGTTTTGCTGTGCTGGGTTGCACATCTGTGAAATATCATTTGTGAAATAGAAGAACACTGAAAGATGAGTAAAAATCTTATTCCTCAGTGATATGTCTTTAATTTTTTTTAGTGTCCTTTGTTTAAGGCTATATCTTTGTTTCTTATAATAATATTGTCATTACTTGTGATTGAAATGCACATATTTTTATACATTAAACAAATGATGTTCATCAAAATGCAGTATGTTTGTTGATTTTTTTTTTGTAACACTTCCTGCTTCAACAATTAAAGTTTCTCTTTAACTTAAATTGTTTTTTTAAATAAGCTAAATTTATTTATCTTGTAATTTAATGGTTTTCTTTCATTCAAAGATGTGTTAGCATGTGCCACCTAAACATTAAATAAAGCAGCCAGAGCTTTGATTATAGCTGGTATATTTTAGCAGTAATTTGAGTATTATATTTTTTCATAATGCATGATTTAAATGCAACAGTAACCAGTCACATGATAATAATATTTTTCTCAAAATACACTTTATTAATTTATTATAATAGCGTAAAAGTGGTTATTTTGGTGTAACACTCTAAGCTCTGTAAGTCAGATATAAAGATACTGAATCTGTACTGCATGTTTTTAAAAATCTGAACATACATAAAGAACTATCACAGAGACAGGAAGAACAAGGAGTCCTGCAACAGATGGTCAAGCCCCCACAAAGCGCTGATCTCAACATCATGGAGTCAGTTGGGGATTACATGAAGAGACTGAAGACACTGAGGCACAAAAACTGTGCTGCAAGATTTCCAAGATGCTTGCAACAACCTACCTACCAAGTACCTTGACAAACAATATGTGGAAGTGAATTAGAGATAATTGGTGCTGTTTTAAAGGTACAGCGTGGTCACAGCAAATATATTTTAATTTTAAGTTTTTTTCTCTTTATTGCAGATTTGATAAATAAAAACTATTCATGGCATTATTTTTGAAAGCATCCTCACTTCACTTTTATGCATGGAACGTTTGCACACTATTGTATAGCACTTGTAAAGAGGTCATACTGCACAATGAGTACTTAAACCTCTGATACTGAAAGTACAAATGAATACCTCTTCAACCACTGTCCATATGCCGTTACCAGTAACACGCAGCAGGTGGCGCGAACAAATGTTTGCTTCCGTGCCACTGGGTGGCGCTATAACCACGTCGTAATTGCGGAAGTGTCCTTCATCGCTCCACCAGCAACGAGTAAACAGACCTCAGGATGTCGTAAGGCGCTAAGTTCTAGCTTTGAATACGCAATGATATAAACTACCTGCGGTGGTTCAGACGCTCACGGTGGATACTTTCTAGAAGCAAACAGCATACTGCACATTTAAGGCTCTGTAACATTATAATGACAACTGAGAGTCTACTGAACGCGATAACGTCTGTGCTACGCTGAGCTAGTATGCTAAGCTAAGTGCTAGCCCCGGCTAACTTCAGTTGGTGTTGGAATGGTAGAGCGCACCGCGAGCTCCTCCGGTCATGGCAGCGGGAGCAGGAGCCGCTTCTGGCGGATCTCTGGAGTCTACTTTAGCACGGAAATTTCAAAGTGTCACAAACACGATGGATTCAATCCAAGGACTGTCAACGTGGTGCATCGACAACAAGAAGTACCACAGCCTGATTGTGCGACACTGGATCAAGTGTTTGAGGAAATGTAAGTAGCTTTGCTGGCCGTTAAACTGACCGTTGTTGCTCCGATTGGGGTTGTGCGCTCGTTTGGACACCGTGATCCAAGTCCTTTCAGTGGCCTAAGTAACTATGAACTAATATTTGCTGTTTTTGACTCAGTAATCGTCAGAAGTTTCCTAGCTTGGAACACCGGTTTACCGTGGAGTTTAAAATGTGCGCTCCTCCAAGTGTAGCCAGTTAGCAAATGCTGTGCTGAGTTGATTTTAAATGGTATTATTTCCCGCTTGATGAAATATTTTCCAATGCAAGTGTAAATTAAGCTGCCTCATTTGTTGACAGGACAAACTTACGATATCTATTAAAGTTCTTGTTAAGGGGGATGTTTGTATTTTGTTTGTAGTGCTATTCAGGGATCGATTACAAGCCAGGCAAAGCTCCAGGGCCCCACCTCCAGGGGCCCCATGAGCCCCAGGTTTGCAATGTATCAGTTGTTAATTGAGAATTTGGTTATTTACAACTTTGTTTGGGAATTTGTACCATTTAGGTACAGTGTCATCTGAGTACGGCATTAGTACATAATTTTGTGGCCTTACTTTGTATTTGCAGTTAGGTTTAGTTTTGTAGTATTGCATGTTGGTCTATTGACACTTGGCACTGCACATACAAGAAGTTAGCTGCAAAATTAGAAATATTGGCATATTACTGTAACAGATGTATAAGAGTGATGGTATATAGGATTTAAACTAAAACATTTTTTTTTTGGTATTTTCAGGATGTAAAGGATTGAATTTACCATTATCAATAGTAGAGTGGTCAAAGTTACCAGTTCAAATCCACTGGTTATCTACCAAATGCAGTTTTTTCCAATATGTTAAAAACTAGAAAATGCAACATATATACTATATGGAGATATTACAGTCAAAATCCTGCACAGAATGTTTCATAACAGATTATCAATATACAGCTTATCCCAGCTTTGTACCTTGTATGAGATTCACATGAGCTGTTGCTGGTGAGCTGTGGATTTGAAGCATTTGCCGTCTTTGTTTCTGTTTCTGTTTGTAGGTTTGGCTTCGTGTAACTTTAGCTTTGTGCTCTTCTTAGTGTGAGCAAGTGTGTGAGAGTTGATTAACAGTAAGAAATTGTGCTCTTCAGTCTGTGGTTGCAGTATGGCATTGTCTTCTGAAATGCTGTATTTCTTTACTTAGAGATGTATTGCATGAGCCTTTTCTACACGCTGAGTTTTCTGTATATGTTTTATAAGACCTGTTTGCAATGCCTGGGTTTAAGAGGCCTGCTGCTGGAGGAATCAATGTCAAAGAAGTCTCTGAAACCAAGTTTTTCAGAACACAAGTGGACAAGGACTAAACAGAAAAGTCCGTAGCACTGAAACAATAATAATGGTGAAAGACATATGTATTAGGTTTATTAAATGAATTGAACATTATGACTGCATTAAGCTGGATGGATTGCGCATTTATTCGAGAAATATAAACATCTGAATATGTAAATCAATTTGTCCATTAACTGGACAATTGACAAAAATGTGATGATCTACGATTTATATAGTTGATTAATTGTTTAGATTATATATTAAGGAACAATGCTGAATATTTTTCCATCTGCTCAAGACACAATGTGTCTTTTCTCTATTTTATATCATTATAAATTAAATATCTTAGGGTTGGTCAGACCAAACAGGTTTAAACATGTTTTAACCTTTCTATTTGGGAAATTGTAATGTCTTTAGACTAAACAATTGAAAATGCAATGGACAGATCAATCGATAATGGACATACTTGTTAGTTGCACCTGTAGAATCAATACAGTATAACCACAAGAATTATTTGAAAGGGTTCAATAATCTTTTGTTGATGGCCTTTAGCATAGAACAATTGTCTATGCTGCTTTTTCATTTGATGGGAAGTTTATATAGATTTACAGAGAAAAGACTGTCAGCTCATTGTTCCATTTATGATCTTTTTATGCCTCCATGCTGTTGACAACCTTGGCAAGAGAGATTATGTTTTTGAGTTGTCTGTCCGCCTCTCTGTCCCATTCTTGCGAACACAATATCTCAGGAACGTTTTGAGGGAATTTCTTCAAATTTGACCACCAAAATCTTCATCTGTGAGTCCAAGTGAACGTTTGTGCCAAAGGTCAAGGTCATTGTGATCTCACCAAACATGTTTTTGGCCATAACTCATGAATTCATATGCTAATTATAATAAAAACATACCTAGTGTTTTTTTACATTAAATTCCTCCAAAGTCTTACCTTTTCTTCCATTACATTCTGCACATTTGCATTTGTTGTGATTAATGGAGGAACATTTTTTTTGTCTGTTAAATGAATTTTGTGTTTTTGATGTGTTGCTGTTTTGACATTGCAAAGCCTTTTCTGTGTTTTTGTCTGGAGATAAGGAAGGAATTGTATTATGGACTAGATGCCAAGGTTCAATGGTAGACCTTGATTTCATTCCCATGCCCCATGAAAGTGGAGACGTTTGTCATACGTTAGAGGTGACCATGGCTTACTATTGTCCCTTTTGTCTCAGCATGCAGTTTGTGTTTATAGTAGTGTGTAGTAAACTGTGTTTCAGTCTGCTCAAATGCAGTTTGACTGAGAAGAGTCTGAAAAAACTTTTTGTATGGTTTATAATTTTATCCATTGTCCTGCTGAACAGATCAAACATGTCAATGGCAGTTTTCCTTGCAATAATTTTAGAGTGAACTCTTTTCGGCAGATGTTAAAATACAAATAACTGATAGTAAAACCCTTTTTTAAAAAGGATAGAACAGTTTTTTTTTTTTTTTTTGTCCTGTTGTCAGAAAGTTGTAACTCCTGAGGTTTGTGCTTTGACAACATAGTTGTTTTGCATTAGTATGGCTGGTTATTATAACCTACCTTTAAAAGCACTGATGAATTATATCTGTAGCACAGCTTCTAAAATTGTCAGGTAACTTAAGTTGGCAAATAAGGATCATTCTTGTGATTATTCTTCAATGTGATAATTACATTGTGTAGTTGAGAGGTTTGCTTTATTTGTTAAATTTAAAAAAGGGTTTTGTGGGAAAAGGTGAACTCAGTGAAGTATGAATAAAATGATTGCTTTAGTGTTTGTACCAGATTGTGTGTATCAAAATATGTCAAATGATACTCAGCCCTATGTGTGTATGTAAACTATGTAGTTATTTCATGCCCCCTCAAAAGCTCTCCTCAGTACTAAATCATCAAGTCTGTGATCGTGGGTAGTGTTATGTTGCATAGTTGATGTTGGTTAAATGTCATATAGTTATTGATTACATGCTCTCTTTCACGACTCTCTCTCTCATACTTCTGGTCAGTTTAAATCTCTAATTAAACAACTTTATTGATTGAGAGATAATTAGTCACAATTTCAATAATTCATGAATGATTATTGTCATGTATCTATCTGCCATTTACTTAACCAGAATGATACATTTATTTTTATTGTCATGCATTAAGTAAACACCAAACATCTTACATTTTGCTTAACATACAGTAAGATTTGTATGCTTTTCTCAGTTATGTGTTTATGTTTAGCTGCTGGTTGACTTTTTTGTCATTTTTGGCTGGACTGCAACAGCTGGGCCAACCCTATAATCACAAATGTTACTGACTGACTGACTGATCAATCATAATTCCTGCATTGGTCAGTCGAATGCCAGGTATCTGAAGCGAGTGTGTGTGTGTGTGTGTGTGTACACATCTATATATGTATATTTACACTTACAATATACTGTATTGTGTTATGAATTTAGCCAAATATGTGTATAAGTATAGCAGCAGCCACCTTGTTCTAGGTGAAAGCTACCCATAATCCAAAGCAGCTCCAGAGGAACTATAGTTATAGTGAACATAAAGATAACTGAGGCTCCATCAGTGCTGAAATGGATCTTAAAGACAACTGAGTCCTCATTCAAATTAAGTCACATCGCAAAAAGAACTGTCTTTTATGTAGGTCCGCTTTAACAGGACTGAGTTTGGTTTGTTTAAAAAGGACTATATGTGAAAACATTCTAATATTCTGTCACTTCTTACTTTCTCTCCAAGTATTTTTTTTTACAATTAAATATAGCCAAAACTACAGGATTACAAGACAGCCAAGTAATATGTGTGATGTGTTACCTGATACAGCGTAATTGGAAATTTAGCTTTATTAAAATACTGTATATGTGAGCACAGAGACCAGGATAGAAGCAAAGAGATAAAAGGTTGTAACCTACTAAGCCTACGAAGCGGTCCTGGCATATACAAGTTTTGACCTAGTATTGTTTAGGGTCGTTAGTAACAGATGCTTGTCATTTTGACATAGTGTAGATGATTAATAATAAAAAAATTATCAATATGTTACAGCACTGCTGATGTCTACAAATATTTGAAAACTGCCTAAAGAGATGATTCAGAATATTTGGACTCAGCTTCCCTCAGCAGAATATCTGCCCTGCCAGTGAAACTAACTAAAACTAATTTTACTTTCTCTCTGTCCCATAACAGGTGATGCCCCACACAGGCTCAACCTGTTTTACCTCGCCAACGATGTCATTCAGAACTGCAAAAGGAAAAATGCCATCGTCTATCGTACGGCATTCGCTGAGATGCTTCCGGAAGCCTTCGTGCTGATCAAGTAAGTTGTTTGTCGAACAAGGTTTTATGTGGGGGCCATTATATCAGTCAGTCTTGAGATATATGTATATTAGATGAAATGGTAATATTTGTGTAGGTTGCCTTCTTCATCCTTTCCTTCCTGTCAACCTCCTCTGTCTTCTCACTTCCTCAGTCTCCTCTATCCTTGCCTGTGTTTTATTCATTCAGAGAAATTCCTCACACTTAAATAAATTTCATTATAACAACATAAATCTCTGGCCTCTGTTGTTCTTATTCTGTTATCCCGTCTGCTTTCTCTAGCCATGAAGGTGACCCTAAGGTGATTAAATCAGTGGAAAGGATACTGTCCATCTGGGAGGACAGGAGTGTGTATTCAGGGACACTCATTGCCGAGCTTAGGAGTAGCCTAGTCAAAGATGAGTCCCCCCCTGAGACACCTGTGGAGCAAAAAAGTAAGTGTGTAGGCTTATTGTCTTTCGCTTTGCCAACCATGCACTGTTTTGATTTTATTTTCATTACTAATAACTCATTTTCATAACTTCTGAAAGTTATTATTATACTATTTTCTTATTTTGTTACCCAAATACTGATACTTTGCTGTTTGATGTGATTTCTGATTTTTTTTTTCATATTGTTTAAAGCTCCAGTTGAGTCTAAAGCCGATCTACAGTCCAAGATTGTTGCGGAGTTTGTGGTAAGCAAGAAATTAAAGTTTTAAGCTCATCTAAAACCCTAACTATACTGCAACATTTTTATTTAACATCTAACAAAAGATAGCTATGCTCGTAGTTGTTGTTTCCTCATTTACTCAAATATTATGTTGGTCTGATAATGTGACTGACTGCTCCATCTGCTTTAGCCCCAGGCACTAATAGACCAACTGTCCAAGTACAAGAGATCTCTCGAGGAGGTGGACCTGAGAGAAAAACAGCTGGCAGCTATGAGAGTTGACATCTGCAGTTCTGAAGCCCTCAGGAAACTTAAAGGTGCCTGACTAAGTCATCTTCTACTGCTGTACTATCTACCCTACTGCAGTGTATTTAGATGAGTCAAGATCAACAATGGTTTTGATGTCTCTGTCTCTTTCTCTTTTTACCATTCCCTAAAAATCATGCCTACATTAATTTCCTTCTTATAGATAAGGCCGGAGGAAAGAAATTCTCCAAAGACTTTGAGGAAGGAAGCGCACAGCTACAGGAGTTTGTCAAGTTTCTTGACAAACAAAGCAAAACAGGACCTCCTCTCCTGGAGGCCCTTAGCAATGCAGATATCTTCTATGAGATGCAGTACAAGGAGGTCAAGATTGTCGCCAATGTAAGTGGCACAGATTTGTACTCATATTTGTTGTTTTATGCTTTAATTCTCAATCATAAGAAAATGCATCTGTAGCTTTTTACATCTCCAGTAGCTTATAATGCAACCCTCGATTCACACTTTTGCAACTATGAATTTGTTTGCAATGCTGCATCCATATAATTTATGAAAATGGGTTCATTAAAGTAAAATTGTGCCGGCATTGTTTTTTAGCCCTAAGTGGAGTTATTTTGTTCAGGCTCTTATTCGTTAGTCACTCTACTTGACCATAACATGCAGAGAACCACCTAGGACAAGTCACCAGTATATACATGAAGACCAAAATAAAAATAATTCCTATTGTCTTATGGCAGTATGAGCATAAATTTAGTTCAGGATTAAATGGAAGGCCCACATTTCCATGCATAAAAGATCTAATATAAGGAGGATGCTAAAAAAGGAAACACAAAAAAATTAGAAGTGCTGTAAGTACAACAGAATAAGCTTCATCTTAACTGTACACATTGAACACATTGTACACATTGAAATATAAAGAAAGAAAAATACTAGATATATTGACTCAACATGAAAAACAATTGAGTCACAGTTTTGGTTTAATTTTTCATTTCTTAATACATCATTATCTCTTCTTTCAAGGCCTACCAAACGTTTGCTAACCGAGTGTCCCACCTCAAGCGTAAGCTGGACACCCTGAAGTCTACCTTACCAGACCTGGACGAGTCGCCGATCCCCTCACCCTCTGCAGATGCACCGTCTCCAACGGGGTCTGAGTCCCCTTTCCATGGTCTGGAATTGGCCCACCCCGATCCAGATCTTGATGGCTCTGCTATGGATGATGAGGCGGAGCCACCGGCCCCGAGCCCTCTGTCCTCACCGGGAGGATCCCCGAGACACACACAGACTCTGGGACAGAATGACAATCGTGAAGTGGAAGACATGGAGCTCTCTGAAGAGGAAATGGACAGTGGTGGCATTATAGGTGAGGAGTGGGCTGATGATGAGGGACTCTCTGACTGATTGCACAGTGACGGCTTTTTAAAGGCGCTATTAAAAGATTTGAATTTGTGATTATTTCCTGGCTTTCTGTGGCAGAATTCTGTTGAAAATGTGTTGAAATAATGAAAAGGAGCAGCACCACTTAAAATATGCAAGTGGAGTCACTGAATCATGCCGAAAATCGCAAGAAAATCATATCACATGTTTATGGAGAAGATCCAAGTATTTTGCTTCCAACCTGGATTCCACGATTTTTTCTCTGGATCACTCATTACCAGCCATAAAGCCACCAAATGAACATTGGATACATTTTAACAACTACAAGCAGCAGCAAATGTATAATTTTACAGTTTTATATCCAGTATTGGCTATAGCACTTCTTAATGTAAAACCATGTCAGTATCTTTTGCAGCATATTCCATTAATTCAATAATGAATGGAGTGACTTCTCCTTACCTGGAAATCTTAAGTTGTAGAAAATCAGCGTCAAAGTCATTGCCTGACCTAAAAACAAACTTAAAATAACTACACTTATTTAACATCATTACATAGAGTGCATATCTGATAGGATCCAAGCTCTCTCTCACTGCCATATTTCTCTTATCAGTTGAAGAACAGACTGAATGTCCCACCCACGCAGAGGTGTCCACTCCTGTCTCTGTAAAAAAGGAGCCATCAGTAGCAACAGAGCGGCCTGCCCCACGGGTCACGCACCCTGTAGACGCACCTGCAGTTGTGGAAAGTGTTGACATGAGTAAAATTGGGTCCATCTTCAATAGTTTAAACTCAGTCATGAAGAACACAGGTGAGTGCTGGTGCCTGTCCTGACATCAATAAAACGGAATGAAACATTTTTCATTTGTTATAACTGTTTCTGTGTTTTAACCTCACAACCATGTCTCGTTGTGATATAATATACATCTGTACAATGCACCTCTGATGTCATAATATTCCACTCTTTCAAAATAAAATAAATTGTAAAAAGGTATAAAAATGTAATGGAGAGTTTTTATGTCGTGTACCAAAAAATCTTGATGATGATGATTGATTGGTGTCTGTTGACATCTGCTATGAAAGAACTAACTATCTTTGCAAATGTAATATGTAGTGGGAACTGAAGCTGTCTGAGTCTCAGCATCCTCCTGTAATACTTCTAATTTCACTGAAATTGTTGAAGTGCTTTTGTTGATTTAACAGTTAACATGTCTGTTGGTGATGTACATTTGAAGTGAGTGTTGCTCTCTGTCTTGCAGGACCTTTGGTAGAGAGTCCTTCTGCAGCTGCAACTACTGGCTCCTCAGTAAGGACAACACCTGTCTCTGTGGCCTCTCAGGATGCTAGTTCACTGGTAAACCTCCTTTCCAAGGTGGATGTGAGTCCTGCAGACCTCCTCAGTGCTCTTTCCAAAGTCCAGGGCCAAGGCAGCCTTGAGGGTGAGAATAAGGAGTACTCTGCTTAGTTTAAAACCAAAATGTTATTAATGTATCAATTTTATATTGTTTATTAAAAGCAGCTTGCTTAAAATACATTTTGTTATTCTTCTTTTCTTCACTTAGGCATCAGCTCTATTCTGAGCAGCCCAGCTGCAAATGTCTCCGCAGCCTCCTCCAGTACAGGCAAGATTCCTCCCTCATCCACATCTGCATCAGCAGCACCCTCTCAGAGCCTGTCTCTCTCCTCTGTTGCACCTGTGCCTTCTTCACACAGCTCTACTGTAAGGCAGAGCACAAGATCCCAAGTCCCTCCTCAGACTTCCAACCCAGCCTCGGCCCTGGTCCAGGCTCTCCATAGAGACATGGATTTGACAACAGAGCCAGAGAAACCCTCGTCCTCTAACAGTTTAGAGTCGAAAATCCACAGCTTCCTGCAGGGGAACCCAGCTTTTAATACGTTTGACCTGGGTTTCACTACGAACCCAGCGGGAGGGGAAAATCTCAGCCCAGTAACTGGCACAGACAACCAGGATGGGACCCCAGTGCGGGATGAGGGCGGAGGCACCCCAACCCAAGATGAGATCATGGACAAGCCTATGGTGGTCCCGTTCACCTCCAACACAAATAAGTCATCTATTGGAGAAACGGCTCCCACTGCATACCAGAATAGCACTCAGAAGAACCTCAAAAGCCCGCAACAGCAAGCTCACCTGCAGCCAGGTGTGGCTCACTTACAGCCAGGTGTGGCTCAGAATGGGCAGGTTTACCAGCAGCAATCGGAGCACGGGATTACAGCACCTTACCAGCAGATTTCTGCACAAACAGGAGGGTCAGTGCCAGGAGAAAGAGCCCCAGGCAGTGCCAGTGGCACACAGACACTTGAAGGCTTTCAGGGGGTGAATAAAAGGGGTTGGTTTAGTAACACCTACCCAGAGGGCAGCTCTCAGCAACCCAGGGGCTACAATGTGACAGTGCCCGGAGAAAACAAGACATCAGGACTTTATCCATACCAAACGGAACAAGCTCGGGAACGTCAAAATTTGGCCTCCCAGCAGGGCGCCACCACATCCCCTGGTTTCTTCAGAAGCAACCTCCCACCTGTCCCAAAGTTACCTCCCCCTCCCCACACCTTCGACGCCCCTCCTTCTGCGGCCAGTAGTGCAATGATTCCTCCAGATCAGCAGGCGATCAACCACACAGGGGAGGTTACTGGGGCTAGAGTAAACAGTGCCATCAGTGGGATGGTTGTGCATGACCATCAGCATAAGTCCATGTTTCGTTCAGATGATCCGCCATATGAACTTGACCGCCCTCACCCTCGTCACCCTGAGGATTTACACCCTCACCCAGATGACTTGCGTTATCAGGAGGACCTTGAGCGGTACCACGATGAGCTCCGCCATCGAGATGCCCTTCTCTTTCAGGATGACACTTACCACCACCCAGACGATCCATACTACAGACCAGGCAGCCCTCCACACCACCACCACCCCAGAGGTCGAGGCATTACTCCCCCACTCTCACCCTCAGAAGACCCTTACTATGCCCATGACTACCAGCGGCATAGCCCCCCTCCTCCGCACTACACTCCAAGAAGACCACCACCAACTCATCTTGACATCCGTCATCCAAGTCTACGACCTCCACATCGGCCTCCCCACCCAGCACACCACCCACACCCTAGGGGACCCCCACATGCACCCTTTCCTCGTTTCCATGGCCCCAATCCAAGGTTAAGAGGCAAACGTCCAGGTCCAAGAGGAGGGGGAAATACTGGTCCAATGTTCCCCCCGAAAAGACCCTTTCCACCCCCACGATTCTGACTGGTGATGTTGCTTTGAGCTCTCATCAAATCACTGTGGATGTCATGAAGGCAGGGGCAGGACTTTTAAGACTGTTCGGTAACTTGCAAGTCACTCCGTTTTGAGGTCCACACCCTGCCACGAGAGGCCTCTGAAAATCTGAAATCTGAAACAGCAAATGTCGGTGGATCGAAGTGCAGACACTGAGGTGGGCATCACAAGAAAAGGTTATCCTGAAGAGCAAAACTCAGCAGCTACCAGAAGATAACTGAAAATGGCGACGAAAAAAGGAGGTTTAGAAGGTTGAGCAGAGACAACACCAAGAGATGTAAAAGAAAACGGGGGCTCTGAGAGGGCTGCTGAGCTGAAGCGTGAAGAAAGAAGATTAAAGAAAATAAGAGGTGGATATATATAATTCACTTTTTGTGTTATTTGCTCCAATAATGAAGCATTGCATTAAATATGTAATCGAGCATCAGTTTGATATAGGTCAGAGTGTGTGCATGGTATGAGTGTGTGCATGCGGTCAAGTGTAAGTCAACTAGTCACAGGCCGTTCCTCATTTTCTTCCGAGTTGAATCCGAGGATAGTTATTTTTGCTAAGAGAATAAGAAAAGAATGTAGTTGGTGCGTTGTTTCTGCTGTTATTTAGTTTTTCAGTGAGCAGTGCTGACTGCTTCTCTTCTATAGCAGCAGTATCCCAGCAGCTTTTGGTAAAAAAAAATCAATTTAAATTTCACTTTGGGTATGAAAAACACAGTGTATGTATGAAAGACACAGTGTACCCATTTTCATATTTGGGGAAATAATAATTTTTCATTGTTCCAACTCCGAATGTTATATTTGTGAAGCCATGCTTTCTCTACTAGTGCGTAAGATCCCTTCGGCGATAGTTTCACGTCTCGTTGAATTCCTTGAAGAAGAGCGACACAAGTCTAGTCAAAGGGGGACAGAGGTGTGTTATTTTTTCACCCTCCATCACCGACGCAGAAGAAGTGCATTTTTGGAGGGGATGAAGATTCTCGTCTTCAGTTTCATTTTACTTGTACTGACTAATAAAAATCTGAGTTTAAAAAAATGTGTTGTTAATTTTCTTTCCTGTGATCTTTGGACTGTTGCACCACGGCCCTGAACTACTAGTTATCATGTGTATACACAACATCTTGGTGTGCTTAAATGATCCTTTTGGAAATTACCAGAGAAAGTGGCGTATTAATGTCTCTAAGAAGACCATTAAAGTGAATTCAAATTACATTACATTTTCTGCATTTTATAGAGTAATACTTTGCTATTTGATGGCAATATTTAATCATTATTTTAATATTGTCAAAAATTGTTTTATCATAGTCAAAGTATCAGTTTCCTATTAGGTCTAAAGTAGGTTGCTGCTCTATGTAACATTATGCTAGAGAGGTTAAAGTAATGTTACACTCAAAGAATGGAAAAACCCCTTTTTGTTAGGTATATTTACTATATTTAAATGGGAATTAGTTTAATAAAATGCATTGTTTTCTGTATCATTTAGTTTCTTGATGTTACTGCAAAGAAGCAAGCAGCAAATTTAAAAGGAAAATACAGTGGGGTGCAAAAGTCTGAGATCATGTCTTAGACCTTTTGGACCACACTGAATTTTTTATTGGTCAGATTTCAAAATCCTTAAAAAAAAAACAAAAAAACAAACATTTCTCTGCTCTAAATAGTCAACATTTTTTAAATCAGACATTTAAACTAGAAACATAAAAAGTGAAAAGTTAGTTGAGTTGAGTTACTTTATTTTGCTGTTACTTAGAACAATCCAACAACTTCCAAATTTGCAAGAACAGATTTTTTCATGCAGTTGACGTTTATATATATTTTATGATATACTGAAGTTATTCTGTATGATTACATCGTTAACATATTCAGTTAGTTCTTTCTGAACCTGTAGAGTTGTGGAATTATTTATTGTAGTTTACTCTCTTAAAACCGTGAATCAGCTTTTCCTTCAAGCAGCTAAGAGAATTTTTCTTATGTGAAGTTTTACAGCCTCAGCAAACATTCAACATTAATGCTTTAGATTGCCCCCCCTGCCCCCCCCCCCCCCCCCCACTGAATAATCCCACCCCCCACCCCGCATACCCTACCCCACCCCGCCCCACTCCTCTATATTTCCAGTACAGTAGAGAGTTCATTGTCTCCCTTTGGAGAACAGCTGCTTGTTTCCCTCATGATGTTTTCCTCTGGCTCCACAGATATTCCTGCTTCATTAACAGAAGAGAGGAATGTGAGAGGCTTTGAATTTAGAGTTCAGACTGTCTCCACACAGGGCTTTAATGTGACAAGTTTGCAAGACAAAGTGATAATCAGTCAGATTGATGAGGCAATTACAAAGCAAGCATTAAAGCTCCTACGTTATTAATTAAAAAAAATTAGACTTAGTTAATTAGACTTTTTGATTGTTTAGAACCTTGTTTGATTATTATTTTGGTTATGCTCTCAAAAGAAATAGATCTGCTTACATGTATTAAAACAGATGTTTCCTCTTAGAGCCACTAAATTAATGAAACCATCACAATAAGCCACTTATGAATATTATACTGTAAATAATCCCAAACTTTAATTGATTTGTAAGCATCGTAAAGAAATGTAATAAATCTTAACTCCCAACTTTATTGATTCCATCCTTGATTTTTTTTTTAAATATTTATTTAACACGTCGATCTAGATGAGCTTCTGACCAATCCGCGTAGTTAAAACGGGGCTTAATTCAGATCTACTTTTAATTTCTACAGGTTTCGTTTCGGGGGGGAAATAAGAATCGATTTTAACGAGAACAAATTGTGCTTCATGTGACTCGCAAAAAAAAGTGAGAGAAAGTGAAGCTCAAAGTGAATTCGATGCGTTTTGGTTAATCCGACGTTTAAGAAGTGAAGCAACAGGTGAAGCAAGCAGATAATAAAACGCTCTGTAGAAAATAGTGCACTCAGCTTAGGTGAGGCAGCCGTCGCCAGATGTCAGTAGATCTTTCCAGGAGCACTGTCACTTTGTTGGACTGCTTTATTAAACGAGGAGCGGCTATAGCAAAAAAAAAAAAAAAACATCATGTAACATTTGTCTACCTTCAGATTCTGGACGTTTTCATATATATATATATAATATTTATTATTTTTTTTTTTTTTTTTTTTTTTTTTTTTATGATGTTACACTTCCTGTTCTTGAATGTTGCACATGCACAAATCTTCCACCCCCTTGAATTCTAACCTATTTCCTGTTTCACCCCCTTCCTTCCTCCTGTTTTCATCCTCAGGGATCCAGAGCCACACTTTGATGTGCCTGATGTGATGGCAACCCTTTCCCACATGTTTAACTGATGGAAGTGAGGGAGGGGGGTCGGTGCTGCTGGTGGCTCTCCTTTTTGAATCCTGCGCCGCCTCCAGTGATGGCTCTTCATGGTCTGACATGACTGCAGCTGAGTAAGCCACCAGTTTAATACATCAGACACTGAGTGCCACCAGCAGGAAATCAGAACAAGCAATATAGGCAGGGAGGAAATAAAATGCTGAAATTGTTTCTCTCTGTGTCTGTGTGTTTACTTGTGTTTCAGAGGAGTCACGGGAGAACAGGAGGGTTGGACTGAGACCGTCTGTGAAGTAAGTACATCCAAGATTACTTGTTAAACATATCCTCTCTCTCCTCTCTATCTCTCTCTCTCACTCACTGAATTACCAACACCACCAGATGTGTAAAAATGTCAACTAAATGCATATTTTTGTGAAATAAAGTATTATTGTTCACATCAAATTAAAGCAAAGTTGTGTTGCCTGTTTATTTACAGTTATCCTGTGAAAACCCATGTTTCTCCAAAAGGTCAGTTTTTCATGGAGCTAAGAAAAACTCTGCTCCTTTGTCACATAATCCACTGGGGTTCTGAGTAGTTTTTTTTTTTGCCTAAGAATTCAGGGATTTTTTTCCACTCATAAAGAGACAGTTTATCCCTCAGTTTATGAGGAAATGTTAATATGACCAAATTTGAAGATACATGGATTTCACTGGAGGACAAAGCAAGGACCCCTGATAATCTCTGCCGTCTGTTTGAGTTAGAGATCAGGCTCTCTGTCCAAGCAATCATTTGTCTTGAATTTAAAGCCATTGGTGAAATATAACTAAGTACTATATGTAGTACTGCACTTAAGTAAAACTTTGAGGTATTTGCTAAATAAGATCTTTCATGCAAAACATGTGACCACCTTTTAAATGATGATTCATTTGTTCCTTTCAAAAATCTTTCCCAGCCATTTTGTCAAATAATTTTTTTAATCATATGGAAAAAATTAAAAATATTCCATGCTTTTTTTGTGGTAAAGCAATTTATATGAGGTATTTTCTAAAATTAAGTTTCATTTTTAATAATTCTAGAGCAGCAAAGACGCCTTATACCTTCTTATTTCAAAATTCATGTGGAAATACTTACTGCCGGAGCTTTTTACTGACTTTTAGGACCCAAGTAAAAACAGAAATATCTTCTAAATATAACACTATGAAATGGACACAGAATATTTAATGTATAGCCTATACTTTAAGTAGATGTTGCAGAAATGATTAAGTAATATTTTCAACACCCATCACTGTTAAAAGCACAGAAACACATTCAATTCCTCAGATAGAGTATCTTTTGCAGAGTCACAGCAGCAACATAGACACCACCACTGGCAACATATGTGTTTGCAGCTCGTCACCAGATGTCGTTGTTGGTTACACTCTGAAATAAAATTAAAAACGCCATCCATTGTCAAAATGACACACATCACGTTTTCAAAGCGCAGTTACGTAGATCATCCATTTCTACCTGATCAGAACTCAGTCGCTGCCACGCCTGCACAGTATGGGCTTAAATTGGGGTTGAAGGGCGGAAGGCAGATAGGATTTAGTGACTGATGGCAGATGGCAGTCTTAACGTTAGAGACAAGCCGATGAGATATTCTGCTGTGGGAAATAAAGGAATTAATGTTGTGGCCGTAGATAAATCTGTGGCCACAGGTTCGCTGTGTTAATAACGTTGCTGCCATTGCTCGCGCCGAACAGGTCCAGATCGTGACTCCTTTGAAGTGTCGCCGTGGTGCGCATGTCGGGTGTGTGCAGCCCGCTGTCATGTGGGTTCATTGTTTACATGCTGCCGAGATTTCACAGAGGGTGTGTATGTGTGCGTGTCCTACGAAATTACGGTCCATGCATCTACGAATAGACCTACATTCGTGGAAACGATGTGTTTTTTCCACTCAGAGAGGTAATATCGCAGCCCTGTTAATGAGTCACGAGTTGAGTAGAGCCATTTCAGGACCACGGCCAGCTCCACGGCGAGAACAAAAGGCGGATTTACATCTCTTGATGTCAGGGACCGTCTGCTTTTTAATTGGCCACACAAAAAACGAAAAATATGATAAACCTTTTCAGAGCAGACGCCTCCTGTCTATCTTTTGATTTATAGGAAATATGCTCCCCTAAAAATTGACTGCCTCATGTCTAACATTACCTAATATATGCCTTTTCTTTATATGCCTTCATCCAAAATGCCTTTCAGTCTGATTTTAGTGTGTGAGTATATTAGTAGATGATAGTCATGTGCAACCATGCATTCAATCCATTCTCTGGTCACTGCAACAGACTTTACATGATGGAAACTAATTAAACTGAATTAAAGTGTACACTATGTGGAAAGACTGGTTAGCTATCCCACAATTGGAGTAA